GTTCAAAATGCACCTGAGAGTGTAGGAGTACACCCAACACAAGAACATAAGAACTGCCATACTGGGTCAGACCAAAGGTCCATCAAGCCCAGTATCCTGTCCTCTGACAGTGGCCAATGGCAGGTGCCCCAAAGGGAATGAACAGAAAGTGATCATCAAGTGATCCATGCCCTGTCACCCAATCCCAGCTTCTGGCAAACAGAGGCTAGGGACACCATTTCTGCCCACAAACACTCCTTCTTGCTGGAGGCTTTTCCAATGGTGAGGTAGCAAAGTCCATCACCAATAGAGATGTTGAAGAAGCCCAAGCCTTGTACAATACTCAAGAGGAAGTGGACACAAAGATGCTTCTGCATGCTATATGTGCCAATATGGCTTTTGAGTCTTTTAGGGTATGTCTACCCTACCCGCCGGATCAGCGGGTAGTGATCGATCTATCGGGGATTGATTTATCGCGTCTAGTGTAGACGCGATAAAATCGATCCCCGAGCGCTCTCCCGTCGGCTCCGATACGCCACTGCCATGAGAGGCGCAAGTGGAGTCAACAGGGGAGCGGCAGCAGTCAACTCAGCGCCGTGCACACACCGCGGTAAGTAGACCTAAATACATCGACTTCAGCTACACTATTCTCGTAGCTGAAGTTGTGTATCTTAGGTCGATCCCCCCCCCCAGTGTAGACCAGGGCAAAGTGTCAAAGGAACCATAGCAATTAGGTCACCTGAAACAGAGGTTTTGGTCCTGGCTGTTCACTACCTTCCATAAATGGAATACATAGATAGCATGTGGATTGAAACCAGGCACCATTACGAGCATGACTGACTAGTGTCGCTTCGTATCTGTGCATGCAGTTTGTGACACATTCACACACTCCTGAATTCTGCAACCTACTTCTTGCTGTACATGCATTGATAGGATGCATCTGTGTCATCCCTATTCGGGATTGGGGGTGGGGGGAAATCTGTGTTTAGTGTTGTCAAAACAAAGGGAACTTGCCAAATTGGGAGAGTGTGACAGACAAGCCACAATTTCTGCAGCAAGGAAGTTGGTAGCAGTGCTGTATGACCAGCGCGAGAAAGGAGACCCACATTGCTTGTGGCTCAATGTAGCCATCAGAAAGGATAAGTCGTCGGCCAAACTCCCACCACACGAGGACAGTTTTGAAGAGTATGTCAAAAGAGCATCTTGGCAGACAAAGATTTGGATGTCTTCACACACACAGGTAAACCAGATATTGGATCATCATTGCAACATGGATGGGCAAATGTGGATGATGAGCTACTTCTTGTATTCTCCAAGGGCCAGTGGCATCTGAGCTTCTACAAAACTGTATTTCTGCCTGCAACAGTAGGGGGTCACTGCACAATAAACTGTCTGTAGTCAGAACAAACTTCCCTGCACTGAACTGTGTGTATGCAAGGCAATGAAGACTGGGTAACCAATGGACTCTTGACAGAAATCATAATGAACAAGATAATGATAATGATGTTGACTAGAAATGTCACCAGTGCTATTACAGTTCAATGATACCTGTACTACAATTTATTATTAGATTTTGCTTTAGCCTTTAGATTGTTGTTGTGATGCTTTGAAATCCATTTTTATGTCTTGAAATAATAACAAAAACAAATGCAAATATTTCAAAGTGGCCATTTTAACGTGTTGATGGTGTCATTGTTTATCCCCAGTTCTATGGTAATGGCACCACTTGACAGCTCCCCATCATATGTTATCTTAAGGTAGACATAATAAGCTTTCAAATTATGTATGATGTGCTTGTGTGTAGAGCAGGTACATTAAGTTGACCAAATTGGTGGTCACTGCTGCTCACCCATAGAGGGGTATGTTTTTAAAGTGTTCAAACATATTGCACTCTAACTGCCCTATGTACACTCTATTGGTGTATTCTAAAAGGTCCCTAGTTCACGTTAACGCAAACTAGGTACTTTTTGGAATGTGCCAGCAGGATCTACACAGCACAGCTGGGCGCTTTGCAGATCACACCCCTCTGGTGCGCTCTGCCACGCCATGTAAACAAGCCTCAGGAATCTTGGTTTCCATTTCAGATTCTGGAGGGGAATGTGCTCTAGTAGCCACAGACTCTTCTGCCTGTTCCCCCAAACTTGATCCCTTCTGTCCCATGCCCTCCAATCCAACCCTGCCCTAGTCCTGTGTCTTCCCCACCCCGGCTCCTCATTTCAATCCCATTCTTCTCAACTAGCCAGTCCCACTCTCCACTCTTGAGGCATCTCATCTTAGTCCCAATCTTCTTGCCCAGCAAGTCCTAGGCCTGGTCTACTTTAGAAAGTTAGTTTGGCTTAACTATGTCAGTCAGGGGTGTGTAAAAAATCCACACCCCTAAGTAGTGTAGCAAAGCCAACCTAAGTCCCCATGAAGACAGTGCTAGGGGAGGTGAATTCACTACATAAATGGGAGAATTCCGCCTCTCTGTTTAGGTAGTGTCTATACTGAAGCCCTGCAGAGGTGCAGCTGTTCCACTGCAACATTTTAAGAGTAGACAAGGCCTCAGTCTCACCCCTCTGGACTGCCTGGACCAGTTTCAGTCTTCTTGCTCATCTAATCCCAGTCTCTCCCCATTTCAACTCCCAATTTCCCCTCCCACCCACACCATCAGCCTCCAGTCTCAGTTTCACCCATGTAGGCTCCTTGTCCTAATCTATTCCCTCTACCCCATTTCAGGCCCCCTCTGCATTTGAAACAGGCAGCTTCCTCCTTCATGCTGCCTGAGCCCAGCAAGGTGGGCACTGAGAGCACAGGAGAGACAGTCTTTGATGTCTGCACTTCTCCGTTACCAGGATTTCTCAGATCACCTAAAGCTATCTGGAGTTACTGGGTAATCGGGAGGTTGTGATTAATTACCTGTGCAGTAACAGGCCAACAGAGGGCAGAGTGAATGAGGGTGAATTTGCTGCTGCTCCTTTCCTCATGCTCAGAAGGGATACAGGTCACCAGACAGGGAAGGTTCCAGGGCAGTTTGAAGGCATTAGGTCACAGAGGCAAGCTTTCTCATGGCCCCTGGGCGGAACACAGTGATTGGAGGCAGCTAGCAGAGTCTAACTGGAACCTGCCAGTGCCTTCGGGCCTGGCACCTAAGGTGCCTCTAGCACGTGTCTGGCAAGTGACACACAGACCACGCCACTAAGGATGATTTCAGGACAAAGGTTGGTACTGCAGAGTTGCCAAGACCTCCCACGGGGTGGACAATTACAAGGATTTCCATGCTGCTGTTAGCGTGACTCTTGCAGCTCGTAGAAGAAAGGTAAGCAGTTTCTGTCTTGTTATCCTCCACACTCTCTCCTAGGAGGTGCCATTGATAAACACAATATAATTTCTTCATTTGGTATTTTGCAAGAATATTTTCTGACTGTGTTAAAGGATGTTTGCGCACTGGTGCACATCGGTCTTATGTGCGCGAGGTTTCCAACTTTTCCACCTACTCTCCAGAATAAGTCTCACTAACCCTTTTCCATCTTGGACAGTTTAACTGGGCTTTAGGAGTAAAGAATTTTACATAGCGTCTCAAAAGAAAAGAAAAGAAAAGGCCACAACAAGAAGTTACACTCCTGCCACTTTCAATATTTCCATCAGTACAATTGGGCTAATTAAGAAATGTCCAATAAATCCCCTCGTTTAAAACACAGCTGAATGTCACTATCTCAGCATCTTCCCAGGAAGGTTTGGAGTCTTGTATTATCTATTATTGTCACCACTGCAAATTCAGAGGAAAGCAGTAATGATCCTTCAATATTTATTTTCAAGAAAGCTGCTTTTATCATGAAACTTTCATTTTGTTTTGCATGACTGGCCCCAAGTACAAAAAGATACATTTACATTTTCTGAGCATGACTCACAATGACTCTGAGCTTGACTCTTTGTCTTAAGCTCTGTTATGTGGTAAAATAAAAGTCAGTGTAAAAACTCTTGAGCCCTTTAAAGTGCTCTCCTCATCAGTACTCTGCAAAGCTTTTGCATTCCAGAGGGTATCCATCTTCAGTGATGACTGATAGTAGCTCCAGCAGAAATTGTTCTAGAAAAGTCAGAAGAGGTTCTCTCCAGCTGAGGATCTGCATTTTGTGTGAAATTCAGCCCGGGTCGAGGACCAGAGCCCGGTGCATCACTTAAGCCCTCAATGGGTAATAGACATTGTGCTGGCTCTCCACAAAGCAATGAATCTCGAATCTTCCGCCATGGGGTAGGCATTTCCACACATGGAAACTGTGGGCAGAGCTTGAGAAATTCAGTAAGAAGTCTTCACCTTCTGTTGCATGCAGGCTATCAACAACATCTCCCACACTCCTAATCCTGGTACATGCATGGGCCTGCCCAATGGGTGATTTTGTTATGGTGTTTGGCTAGTTGTGGAAGGGACAGAGGAGCTCTCTGAGCTTGATACAGAGCCCTGTAAGTTGGGAATATACAGAATGGCTATTGCTTTGGAACAGGAGTGTTGTGAGGCTGTGTTAAAGTTTGTAAATTGCTCCAAGATCTTTAATAAATGTGCTATGTCACTGTTTATTATTTTCATTGGTCAGCATTATTTCGAGGCTTTGACACGTTTGTTATGTTCGATCCTCCTTCTAGTTCAAAAATTGTCTGTCTTTCCACACCCTGGAAATTGTTGCTCTGTGAGACTAGCAATTAGCTTGGTGAAGGAAGGTTAGCTTTTCTTGGCATATCTAGGCCATTGACATAGAATAATAGGAATCAGAGATAGAAAGAAACCTAATTAGATCATCCATCCAGTCCTTCTCCCTTTAGAACTTATTTTCCAGGTTTCCTTGCGTTTATGACTAGCATTATGTTTCAAATGCATAAATGGAAATACGTGAGAGACCATATAACCATACAACACTATCACATTGCAATGAAGATCTATTCCCTCAGGAAACAGACCTTGGAGTCCAACTGCTTTTGAAAAAAAAATTATTGCAAATTTAGACTAGTCCTTAAAACTCAAATAAACAAACTGGAAAGTGACCTACCCGTGTTCCTCTCTGTGGGGGTAAACAGGTATCCTGTGTGTGACAGATGAAGAAGGCACATGAGGACTTCTCATGCAGGGCAGCTGTTGCGAGTTTTCAGCAGGTGACCCAGCAGCTGTTGTCACAGTGTATGTGAGTGACCATGTATAGGACTGCATAGCTCCTGCAGAACAAACAAAGTTGACGTTCATAGTTAACATGAGCTGTAGTCCTTTGAAACGATCCATTTTGAAACAGCCATTAAAGAACAATCTAATAAGGTGATGCCAATGAAGACTATCAACCAAAGGAGGTGAATAAAAATGGGTATAGTGCAGTGGTTCTCAAACTTTCACGTAGCAAGCCTCTGAGTGCAACCCCACTTATAAATTTAAAACATTTTTTTATATATCTAACACCATTATATATGCTGGAGGCAAAGCGGGATTTGGGGTGGAGGCCGACAGCTCATGACCCCCCATGAAATAACCTCACAACCCCCTGAGGGGTCCCGACCCCCAGTTTGAGAACCCCTGGTATAGTGATAGCAGTAAAACACCCATTTTTGAAGAACACTTCAAAAGGTACAAATAGATTAGCTAGAATATCGGATACTGGGAGACAATCCAGACATAACTGGCATTTTTGAAACATAGCAGGATGTGAATAATCAATGCAATGCTGTAATTTGTGCCTATAAACTTTTGGGCAGGGACTGTCTTTTTGATCAGTTTGTACAGCACCTAGCACACTGGGGTCCTGGTCCATGACTAGGGCTCTTAGGCACTACAGTAATACAAATAGAAATATAATATAATATAATATAATATAATATACAAAATACAGGACAGAGCTTAGAGCTGTGAGAACGGCACTAGCACAAAACATTGCATAGACATTATGGGCCAAATCATGAGCCCCTCTCTGCAACAGAGTGGAGCTCCGTGCCGGCTGACTTGATCCTCAGGATGATCAGAGCTGGTGTGGTAGGAAGAACGGTCAGGGCGCTTGGGACCTGGAAGAGGGTTGGACTCAGGCAAATGAATTCCCTGCAGCCTGACTTGGCTTTCATCTACCCACCAATCTAAGTTCTTATGTGGTCCCCATCACTGTGATATCAGATTGGCTCCCAAAATAATAACAAGTGCACACTTGGAGACATTCCTCTCTCTCTTCCCGCTAGTCAGCAGGGACTAGGCTTTGTTGACTTCATTCATGTGGTTCTATTCTAGGAAGGTTAAGGCAAAGAAGTGGGTTTTGCATTTTGCTCTGAAAGTGCTGAAGTTTTTAGTCAGCCTGGTCTCTTCAAGGTGGGAACTCCAGATTTATGGGCCAGTTCCTGAGAAACCTTGTCCTCTCTATGTGACTCCCATCTTTGAGGTTGGTGGTCTTATAATTCTGGGGTAAAATAGCTGTTGTGGATGAGGGCCAAAATCTTGAATTTGACCCAGTATAGAACAGGGAGCCAATTAAGACAGCAGAATAGAGGTCACCAGGTGCTTTCAGCTCTCTTTCTCCAGCTAAAAAAGGGAATGGACTAGAGTTTCAGGAGCTGATTTGGATTTTCCTTCAGCACCTCTAGGACTTCTGTTGTGTGATAGGACCTAATTCAGAGAGGCAAGTTATTGTGTTGTCAGCTCTGTGTTCATTGTATTGCTCTTGGTGAATGGAGAAGCAGTCTCAGATGTGGGTGATTTTCTTCAGAAAGTCAGGCTACGTCTTCACTACCCGCCGATCCGGCGGGTAGCAATCGGTTTATCGGGGATCGACTTACCGCGTCTCATGAGGACGCGGTAAAATCGATCCCTGATCGCTCTGCCGTCGACTCCGGAAATCCACCTCGACAAGAGGCGGTAGTGGAGTCGGCGGCAGCGCGGCAGCGGTCGGCTTTCCCCCGTCCTCACCACCAGGTAAGCCGACCTAAAATACGCAACTTCAGCTACGGTATTCACGTAGCTGAAGTTGCGTATCTTAGGTCGGAACACCGCTGTAGTGTAGACCTAGCCTCAGGCAGATAGTTCTTTGTAGTGGGAAGTGCTCAATTCTGGGACTGAAGTGGGACACCCTATCCTAAACAAGGTGATTCATAGACTGAAACACTCCAGCAGGTTGTGACTTTATGGCTGCTAAGGTGGAGAAGAGGTGGGAGTTCTTTGCAAGTTTCATGCCTGAGGGTAGGTTCACAAGAATTGCTTGTGCTACAGCCTGCCTGCATTTGCTTGTTCTCCATCACTAACACTTGAATTTTCTTCCTTTCTACTTCTGTTACAGGTTTGCAGAGAACCACTGAGATCTATGGGAGCAATGATGAGGGTGCAGGCATTCCAGTGCTAGAACATCAATGGTTGTGTTTAATGAGTGGTCACAGTGACTCAACAGAGCTTCTATCCTACGGCATTTTGGTGGGGTGGAATTACCTGCAAGTATGTTTTGGACTTGACTGGGTCCAGGCCATTACGGTGGCTTCCTTTTTGTCTGGAAACCAGCCTGAAGGAGGTGATGGTCAGTCCAGCATAGGGGCCATTTCTTGTGTCCCCTATATCAGGTCAGGTTCCCCTTTTTAAGTGAGAAGAAAGATCTAATAGTCACAGCTGGGCTCAAAATCAATGAATCTATAGCCAAGTCCCATTCAAAATTCAGGTCCAAAGCATGACCTGCTCTGTGTGTAGAGCCAGATGTTACCTATGAGAAACTAAAGATGGAAACTGGGGCGAAGAGGTTTTAGGCCATTGCATTGGAGGGGTTGTCAATATGGCTGCTGAAATCTCCCAGGACTATTGTCGGAACGTCTTCACCATGCCTGACAGCAGCACCTCAGGCTGCTGCTCTAGGAAAGGCTTGCTTTCTGGAAGGTCTGAAGACTAGCAGTTTGCATACGGTGGACTTGTCTCTGGATTTGCAGAGCAGCTGATTATTGAAAGATTTTGTGTCAAGGTGGCCTCTCTTGCATTTGAGGCTGGACTGGAAAAGGATGACTACTCACCCCTTCTCTCCCTTGTGGAGGGAATGCAGTAGCTTTCACAGGGTGACCTGCACATGAAGAGAGAGGGGGAGGAGTGGCTCAGATTTGGAAGGTCTCAATTTCCTGTTGGAGGAAGAAGAATGCTGCCAGGTACATGTGTGTATGTATGTGTTAAGGGAGGGCATCAGTGAGACCCCTCCCATACATTGTGGTAGGGCAAAAGGTAGGAGGAGAGACAATTGAAGAGCTTGTGGTTGTTTCGTTTTTTAAAACACCAGCCACCAGAACCCCAATCCCACAACTCTTACACAATCAATCTCATTGACTTCAATGGAATCCAGAAGACAGCCTTTTTTAGCTGCTGTACCCACTGAACTGAACCGAACTGAATGTAAAACAATAGTGGTTGAGTGATTTGACAACACTTTGTTCTTCTTTGTGTTTTCAGCCTTCGGGATTTGAATAAACTTAGAAAGTTCTTTTACTTCATTTCACTTTATTTTTTACTATTTGCTTTTTTAAGACTGACTACATTGTTGAGAACATGACAGCAAGAGGCCCTCTGTAGGAAGCACAATGTATAAATAGCTCTGCTAAAAGCCCAACAACAGCCCTGTTGTGCTATCACACAGCAAAGCCAAAAATGCAAAGGAATTTCATGCACGGAAGTGTGATTCGTACTATAAACCCTTACTGTACTTGTTGGTGTGTGTGTACTGCTGTGAATAGAACCATATAGCCAGGCCGATTAGCTACTGCCCTGCCTCTTGTGCAGTCATTTATACCAGTGCAAAGTGAATGCAAAGTGGCTGTAAAATGGTACCATTTCACAATGGGAGCATTTTACAGCCACTTTGCACTGGATTGCAAAGGTGCATAGCATCACTGAAGCAAGCCCACAGATGTCAGTAGGAATCGCAATAGTACATATTATATTTGGTAGTAAACAATATTGTCAAGACCAAGTGTTCAAATTTCAGGAGTTAGGCTTGGTCTACAATACAGACTTATGTCGGGATAACTACATCGCTCAGGGGTGGAAAATCCACACCCCTGAGCAATACAATTTTGCCGCCTAATCACCAGTGTAAACGGTGCTATGTTGATGGGAGGGATTCATAGCTACTGTCAACATAGCTACTGCCTCTTGGGGAGGTGGATTAATTACCCCGAGAGGAGAAGCTCTCCCATCGGCGTAGGTAGTGTCTTCACTAAGTGCTATAGTGGTGCAGCTGAATCGGTGCAGCTGTGCCACCGCATCGCTGTGCGTGTAGACGAGCCCTCAGTCTCTCCAAAATAGGGATATTGGCTTACAAATCAGATTTTTAAAAACCATACATTTGGGGTTCTTTTCATTTGCTTTCTGGTGCTGGATCCTTTAGGGTTTGCATCATCAAGCTTTTCTCTGCAACCATGAGGGCTAGAAACTTACCTTAATTTTTGAACAAAAAATAGCATTCTCATGAATCCAGGAGCTGGAGCTTTAAGTAAAAGCACCAAATATCACGAGACTCTTGATAAAAACATGAGAACTGGCCACACTCACTAAGGCTACGTCCTCACTACGGGGGGGGGGTCGATTTAAGATACGCAAATTCAGCTACGCGAATAGCATAGCTGAATTCGACGTATCGCAGCCGACTTACCCCGCTGTAAGGACGGTGGCAAAATCGACCTCTGTGGCTTCCCATCGACGGCACTTACTCCCACCTCCGCTGGTGGAGTAAGAGCGTCGATTCGGGGATCGATTATCGCGTCCCGATGGGACGCGATAATTCGATCCCCGAGAGGTCGATTTCTACCCGCCGATTCAGGCGGGTAGTGTAGACCTAGCCTAAGGGTTTACAGGAACAGCCCAAACGGAGAATTAATACCAAGTCAGCACTCTGTGGAATAGTGTACAGTATTATTGAAAGCAACAGAGGGTAACTGTTAGTCTTAAAGGTGCCACAGGACCCTCTGTTGCTTTTTTACAGATTCAGACTAACACGGCTACCCCTCTGATACAGTACTATTGAAATGAACCTTTAATTCAAATATACATTCCCTTGTAACTGAGAGGAAGGCAGTGGAGGTGGGGATGACAAGGAGGTGGAGAAATGATTAGTTATCTAGTAGCAAACATTTACAATGCAGAATTTCTGTAAGCCAGTTCAGGTTCTTCTAACAGCAATTGCATTAGCAAATGAGTAATCCCAGGCTTTAAGAGAGGACTGCAGAGTCAACCATATACCCATCACTTTTGTTACAATATTGTTGTAATTTGACCAATCATTAATCTGGCCTTTGTAATTTAGAAAGAATTAGGGCTAATTATCCTTTTAAACTTTCAGTAATTTAACAGAAAAATTTAAATAAAATGTTAACTGAGCATGCCAGATGTTTTACACCAGAGCAATCTATATAGGATTTACCTTACTTTAGTTCGGTGTCATCTAATCACAGTGATTTAATTTGCTGCTTTTGTGTTTGACCATTGAGTGCATGCAGAAAGTTTAAAAAGCAAGTTTAATAGTTAACTTTTATTGCCAGTGCCACAAGCAGCAAAGACTTAATGACACCTTAAGTTGGGGAACTGCAAGCTATTGGTAACCAACCAGATTAGTTTTCTAGTTGTACAATGCATTTCCACACTGCTACATTTACCTAAATTAAAAAAAAAAACATTAAAGAAAGGCAACACAGTAACTTTTAAATACATCTCAAGAGAACTGCTGGTTAGAGCCACATATCTGGAGCAAATACGCAGAATTAAAAAACAAACAAAAGAAAATACATTGAGAATTTTATACTTCATCCCTCAAATCCTCTCCTGGTATAAATATACATAACTCCACTGAGCTGGAGTATTTACATTTTCAAATATTTTGATTTTTACCTTACATGCTGTGTAAGCACTAAGGCCTGGTCTATACATAAACGTTTTATCAATACAACTATTTTGAGTAGGGGTGTGATTTTTTTACTAACATAGTTGTACTAATACAAGCCCTAGTATAGATTCAGTTAGGCTGGTATAAAGGTGAGACTGCACCTAAAACTTAGGTCAACATAGCTATGTCGCTCAGGGCTGTGAAAAATGTTGTGCCCTGTACAATGTAGTTAGGTTGACCTAATCCCTACTGTAGACACAGCCTCTTGAGGGGATGGATTTACTACAGCAGTGGAAAAATCCCTTCTGTTGCTGTAGCAAGTGTCTACTCTTCAGTGGTGTAGCTGCTGTGCCATTTTAGTGCTTGTAGTGTAGACATGCCCACCAGTATATCTTATTCCCCTTCCTGAACTGAAATAAACTTTAGGCTTTATAGCTATAAATAAGCATTTTTATACTGGAATAACTGCATCCACACTAGGGGCATTTTGCTACTTTATCTATGCTAGTGTAGTTAATGAGGAAAACCTTTCTAGTGTAGACCAGTCCTCAGAATCAAGAAAAACATGGATATGAAGTATCTTTTACATTTTTATTAAAAAACCTCCCCTTTTTATTTTATCATCAACATACATGAACTTTCCACACAAATGCCTTTTACATTTTTCATATGTCTGGAATGTTATCTGCATCGACATCATCACCAGTTTTGGGTAATTTTTTTGATGTCCCCTCTAATGTTTTTAAAAACTTCCTATTATATTTTTCTACAAACTGCAGAATATACCCTATATTAATTGATACTCTAGAACTAAGGCACATCGATTAGCCAAGATCGTTTATAATAGGTCCACAGCACACACAAAGTAAAATACAACCAATTCCTGCAGCTGCAATGTTTCTGGTTCTGTATTACTTTACTTATATGAACCCCTATTCATATAAGTTGCGTTCTAGACAAAAATTAAGATAATGGCGATTAAAATAAAGCTGAGCTCAATGGCCAGAGAGAAGCAGCCATTCTGCCAAACAAAAGAATATAGGGAGAAAATGAGGGAGGTGGGGAAATGAAGAGCTGGTGAAAAAGGAGGACTATAATGATTAAAGATGAACTGTCTTGAGCAGAAAGGTCTTCCATAGAGGCTTAGCTAAGACAGGCTGTGGTAGAAATGCTCAGGTGGAGGGTTCCTTAGCCATAGTCTGTGTCTATCCTGAGGCTTCACCCTAGCAGTCCTCAGCCTTGGAGGGCCATAGCAGGAGAGAGAGAATCACTCAAGCACCTTAATAAACATAATTAAAGTACAAATAAATTAACATAATGCCAGTGTGAGTCCCTTCCATGTTTCCCCTCTCTTACCGCCTCAGACCATTCTCATTTTGTATGTCTTTCCTTTGAGGGGCAGCACACAGTTACCTGCTTTTCAATTTCTTGTTACTGGGGGAGGTTTTCTGGCCTGTGTTACGTAGGCGGCCCGACTAGATGATCACAATGGTCCCTTCTGGCCTTGACATCTATGAATCAAATTATTCATAAAATCTATGTCTCAAGTCTCTACTGGGGAGAGCACATAGCATGCGGCTTTATTCAAACAGTGTCTTTTCTTTTGTGCTCACCTTTCATGTCCAAGAACCACATGACTCTGGTCTTGTGGTCTTGCTGTTCAGGACATGGGATTGTCATATTTTCACACCAAATATAGTCTCTAAAGTCTCAAACAACAAGCAAACCTGAGGTTTCCACAATGCTATGTAGGATTAAAATGCTCTTAAATCTATTTCAGCCACAAATACACACTGTGGTTCCCTGGGATGTTTCTGAAGGCATGAAAAAGATTTGGCAGAAACCTGTATTCGTCCTTTAACTACTGTCAGTCTCCAGGATAGTAAATTGCCACTTCCTGGAATTTTTCTAGAAGCTTTTGTTGCTACTCTAGAGCCCTCCAAAAGTGAAAGTTATATCATTCATTTCACCACTGAGAGCCAGGACAATCATTCAAGTTCCTGACTCCTTTCCTGCATCTGTAGACTCAAAATAGGAAAACAAAATATTTTTGACCCCAGACACTTGAAGGTCATGACTGGCCCTGGCCACCACCTCCTGAATGTATAATCTGTCTTTCATATCAGAGAGCTTATGAGAGGAATTTAACATGCAGAATGTAAAGGCCCACTTGTGTGCGCCAAATTGCAAGCCAGTTGTGTGCCTACTGGTTCATTTGCAGTTCTTGGAATCCCTAGCCACAAACTGAGTATCTTCATGCACAAATTACTAATTAGGACTTTTTCATGCCATTTGATACACGTGTTCCTGAAACTGCTATAATTATATATGCAATTATAGGCATGCAGTTGCATACAGGCCACAGGCCTCCATTTCCTAAATTCTGTCCTTATAAGATGTTGAAAGGTACAAACAAAACGTTAAAACAGAAAAACAAAACAGATGTGTCACACATCACCTCCATATTGGTGCACATAACAAAATTCATTCCACACATGGGTGGGAAAAATTAGAGGGAACACTGCTCTTCCTCCCTGTTGCTGCATGCACCGCCTCTTTGGAGACAGAGGTGGGACACACAACACTTAAGGAGCAAGGTGAGAAGGCGAGGGGGGGGTAAGGGGGTGAGAGGTGAGCCAGCAGCAGAGTGAGGAGGCGGGCGGGCGAGGGCGTCCTCCCCTTCCCTCCCCTTCTCTCCCCACAGCCGTCCTTCCCTTCTCCTCCCCTCCCCAGACCCAAGCCGCTCAGATATGTTTTTCATTATTATTTGGACTTCTATTATTGCAAAGTATTTTTAAATGTACTTCAGAATTGTTGTACAACCATTTTAACCAAAAAAGCAAAAAAAACAATAATAAAAAAAGACAAGAACATGCAAAGCACCTTATTTGTGTTTCTATTCTGTTAGGTCCAGTAAAGAATAGAGATAACTGTGCATTATTTTTATTGAGTCCACAAAAAAAGCCCAAAACCGTACATAAATAAATTACAATGATTTGGATATATATATGTGCATAATACTTTATTAATTTAGGAAAAATAAATAATTTTAGGAAAAAGTGTCCGTGCGGCCATCAGCAAGAGTTGGTGGCCGCACACTGAGGCCACCAAAAAATGTGTTGCGAGAAGCCCTGTAAAGTGCTGTATTTAGAAAAGGCTCTTTAAAAGTATTGCTAGAAATATGCAATTTTAGACTGAGGCTTGAAAATATTTTGGAACAAAATTGTGGCCCTGTTTTTCTAAGGGCCCCAGACATCTGCATAGAGTCCATAATGTATTGAGATATCCATCTGCTTTTACAAATTTATATCTTGATGCCCAGGAATCCATGCACACAGTGGATCCTTTTTCAATTGCACTGCATGTCATGTTTGGCAAGATATAAAGAAAATATCTATTTGAATGATAAATACTGAACATATGCTGAGTCCGTTTTGAGAGGGCTTCTTCAGAGATAAGGTCAGATCCTCGGTGGCTCTAAATTGACACATTGCTCACAATTTTTATTGCAGGCTTTTGGTTTTTTGACAACAATTTTTTGGAAAAAAGAATGCAAGAACCAGCCATCCTTAGCCTACCTACCTGTAGTAGTTGCTATGCTAGCGTACTCTGGGGATTGACTGCTCACAGGTGAGGGTGCAGACGGCACTTCCACCAAGGTGGCAGATTTAGCTGGAGAGAATGGCACTGGGGAGGGAGTTGGAGGAGCAGGTTCTGTCAATATAATTTCTTCTTGTATTTCTGCTGAAGATTGGGAGACAGGTCATACAAATGTTGTTAAATACGGCTCGTGGAACCCTATGAAATAGATCACTCAGAAAAGTAAATTTTAGATGTAAACTCTGGTGTGTGGAGGAATTACATAAATCTGTCTTTATCTTAGGTATTTTCATGGCCCCATCTCTTGATCATTAACATGCTTATCCTCACAACATCAGTGTGAGATACTCTGTATGCCCATTTTACAGATGGGGAACTGAGGATAAATGATTTACCCAGGAAGTCTGTGGTGGAGCATAGATTTGAACCTGGATCTCCCAAGTCACAGGCTAGCACCCTAACCACTGGATCATCCTTCCTCTCCTAAACCTTAGGTGTCAAATTTAGTCTATGCTAAAATGGATGGGTGAGCTTTTCAAAAACCAGCTAAGGGATTTAGCCATTCAATTCCCATTTAAATTAATTGTAGCTTCAGGGAGGGATGGAAGCTGGCTCCACTGACTCTATGCCTGCTGAGGACTCCTTCTCATCACATGCATCCTGAACTGGGATTTTACAGGTGGTCTCCACACTGCTGGGGCTGCACTGAAGTACCTGAGCACACAGCACTGAGTATCTGGCATCTGTATTTCTATTGATAATGTAGATTTTTTTTCCTTTGGAAGTTGAACATTGGTATATCATAAATAATAGCTTTGGCTTTAATCTTAACCAATGAAAATCACTCACCCCAATTCTCTTCTCAGATACAGTGGTGTAAAATCAGGAGTAACTCGACCAAAGACAGTGGACATATTATTGTAAAGCCAGTGTAAGGGAGAGGGGAATCAAGACAAGTGTCACTTAAATGTGACTGTGGTTTTATAGGTTAGTTGATGTGAACATTCAGTACAAAACTCCCTTGCTGAAATCTCAAATACAGGTTTAGGAGTTGGAATTTTCAGACCTTCATAACTAAACTCAATAGTGACAACAATAAGCAGGCAGTCTAATTCAAAATCAATTTCAGGACACTCACTAACCAGAAAGGCTCATAATTGACTTGTCTGACATAATAACAGAACTGAAAAATGACACATTCCTTCTGGAAAGGCCTCATTAGGATGAATGGGGATAGGGAAATGCCCATGTACAGAAATGGGTGAATAATAGAATAAAATTATAGAAGGCATGTAAGGTACTGCTAAGAAAACAAACTTACCTGTGCTTCCTTCTCCTTTCATTGCCCTCATTAACTCATTAGCTCTCTCCTGACAATGCAGTGATTCTAACAGGTATAATACGTAGTCATCAAACATCAAGTGAATAAGGTGAAAAGACCCTGGGAATGAAATAATGTGAACAAACATAAAAGCAATTAATGGTCTCAATATTACTTATCACACAAATGATTACAGCATTATCAAAAAAAAACCCATCAAACCACTGAATACCACTGGCCCCTGTATAGTCCTGCTACTTAAGCATGTGTCTTACTGAAAAGTGAGTCATCCATCAATGTTAAAGGCAAGTTAAGAGGGGAGGGTGTTTGTGTGTCTGGGTTCTGATTACTACAGTGTATTCATACCTGGATTTATACAGATGATGTGAATTCCGGGATCATTTCTCAGAAGTTAAATTTATGTCTCTGGGGTCCAGTTCCTGAGAAAAGTGTCCTGACAAATAACTATCATTTTGTAGTAATTATAAATCTTGAGCAAGAATTGCCTTTTGTACCAAGCTCTCTCTCCTATGTCCAAGCAAGTACTTACTAAGTCAGATGGGGTAGTCTGGGAAAGCAGGACATGAATCAAAATAATAAAAATCTATTCCCTGTCAAATGCACTAGCACAAAGTATTATTGAGCTAGCTGGACTGTGCATGGGGGCTTTAAACTAGAAAGATAAAGGGAGGGATATGGTGAAGGTCAGAAACTACAGGACCTGGACCCCAGCCTTCCTTCAGCATCTTCCCAGCAAGAGTCTGATTATCTTTTTGTTAGCATTCTTCAGCTGACTGAGCATTGGTATCATTTATATAGGACCTCTAAAGCCAGAACATTTTCTTCCCAACTCTCTGGCAATGTCATTAGTGGTGCCAAGAATCAAAGCCCATTATTCATGTACAATAGGATGCCCAAACACCTTAAAATAAGTTGCTTTAACAGGAAGCATTGTGTCAGTCAGGATAGGTACAGTCTGAAGAATTTATAAATAAGGAACTTTCCCATTTTTCATAATTATATAACTGTAAGTTATGTTTGCGGTTAGACTAACTAGATGAAAAATTAAACGTGTTAAGAATCATCACACTTTAGGATGTAAACTGATTACCTAGTTGAGAGTTGGGAATAAATATTTTGCTCTCACGTCCTAGCATTGTACAGTTGGCCAAGAACAAGATAGCATACTTTTCTGCCTTTCTCTGAAGCATCAGATTACTGACAGATGTAGAATACTGAATGGGATAGACCAATGATATGTTCTGGCATTACAATTCCAAGCTACCTAAGACATCAGAGAAGGTATATGTCAGAATGATATCAATGAGAGACTAAAAGACACCTTAAGTAAAATAGTCCATCCACCTTTTCACTCCCTATGGCACAGCTTGAGGGTTTTATCCAGTCTATCTTTGAATAACTCGACAGAGGAGGTTTCCACTACTTCCCAAACATGCTAGTGGCAATTGTGGGATGTCCCACGTGGAAAGGCTGATGCCAGAGGTATCAACACTGCTTCAGCCAATCAAAGTAGCATCAATATCTCTGGCATCAGTCCTTCCACATGAGGCATCTGTCACGTTATTAAGTACCATATTACTATAGCTGGAATAGGAAGTGTCCTGAATGTTCTGGCTTTGCCTGTGATCTCCCAACATGAGGGACAGGCATCACTATCTTTAACAACTATCAGTCTTGGAAGTTCCAAGCACATTTCTTGGTGGTTCCTGGCAAACTACTTCCTAGGAGGCAATTTGAGACATGCTATACAGACATGGACCTGGACAGGGAAAGAAGAGTTTCCCATGTAGTTTCAGGTCTCAGTTCAGCTAGAGAAATGCCAAGAAGCAGAGAATAGACGTGAGGGAAGCAGTACTGGGAAAAAATTGACTTTTCCTCTAGCCTCCATAGACAGAGATTTAAAAATGTATACAAGGACTCAGTGTGAGAAGTAGACATGTCCATATGCTATCACTGGGCAGATTCAGCAGTGTATAGAAGATAGGAAGCATAGAAGAAAATCAAGACAGATGACTTTGTCTGGAGAGCATACTGGCATCTACTAGAGATGAATGATATATATATTTTTTAAACTAAATGCTTTTTCTTCCAAAACCAATCTTTTTGCAAAAATGAAAAAAATCACAAAGACATGTTGACCCTCTTTTCTGTAATTTAAAAAATTTCCCAATACATTTTTTGTAAAATTTTAAATCACAATTTGTATTGATTTTTTAATCAAAATATTTTCAAAATTTTTCATTTACCAAAACCTGTTCTTTGATAAACAAAAAATGTGCATAAACATCTAGATAACACTTTAGACAAAAGTTGCAATAAACTGCTTTTCTACAAAACAGAAAAATGGGTCTCTATCAACCACTGCAAAACAGAAACTTTGATATTTGGGGTTAATATTTTTCAACCAGCTGTATTATCTATATTATACAACAGAGCTGGGTGAATACTTCACTTTTTTTTTTTTTTTTTTTACAAAGAGTCACTCAGGTGAGAAATTTAACTTGCTCTTTTTATATTGGCTTTCCACCAATGATTAGTAAATTTTAGATATATTTATTTGGACTTGCATGGTACATTTAAAATTGCCTATCAAAAGCTTTAGGTACCTTTGGCAGGAGTGAATTCAGTCAGACTGGAAAAAAAGTAAACCCACCAGCCACCCCAACACCAGAGAAAATAGCCAGCTGCAAAGAAATCAGAAATCAACTCCACCCATAGACCCCAAATTCCCCAACCACAAATACAAGCCCTCAACATACTCATCACTCCTCAAAACCTGGGAAAAGAGATGGCTTTCTTGTTGTGCTCTGAATATCAATAGATTTGTCTCTTTCAAACATGGGGATAATGGGATGGTGAATTCCAAAACTGAGGGCCCCTCACAAAAGAATGTCCTGCCAACGGGCCCCTTTCTTAAAAGCCAAGAGGTGTTAGCTAACTGCTATCAAAGATGGCAGCTGGGGACAGAGAGAGGCTCTCTCTCCCATAGTCAGGTCCTTGGTCACAGCCCAGGATCTGGCCCAAAACTTTCAAATTTCTTTACTGAATTTTTACCAAACTTCCAAGACAAAATCCTTCCCTGGAATGGGATGCTACATACATAATTGAAGGATGATTGGTTTCTTTGGAGGAAGTTAGAGGAGGAGGTTGAAACTGAGCTTATATTGGGAGACTCATTTCTACCTTAAGGAGTGTCTACAGCTGCTCCATAAATATGTAGTTCTTTGCTCATATATACTGTACAAGTGGAGTGTAGGAGAAGCAGCCTGAAAGGCCCCATGTCATTATGCAATGCAATGCTATCTCGTAATTAGGTTTTCAAAGCAACTGTGCACACACTCTTCTTCAGTTGCGACAGCTCTAGTCTTTGTGTTCCATTCTCTCAATGCACGCATGCGTAACTTCCATTGTCATTCATGGGAGTTATGCACACACATTGGGGGGAGAACAGATGCTTTGTGTCCTTGGAGCAAGACCAAAACCAAAAACATCGGACATTTTTATAAATAGAACACATGCGGAGTGATGGGCAAATCTTCTTCCACTAGCGAATATAAAGGGCTTGATTCTCTACTTTTGTGATCATTTACACCTGTGCAAATCAAAACTGTATGCTTCACAGCCATCTTACAGAAATTAAAATGACTAATAAGGTACAATATAGTGGAGAGCCTTAGCCAAGCTATGTAGCTGTTTAGTTTTATAAAGTTTTTGAACTGGAAGTCTTGTAAAAACTGCAAATGGAATAAGATAGCTATTTTCAAAATGCCTAACATCAGTTACAATGTTAGTAGAATCCTACCCTGTTTAGAAGTGTTATGAACACAATGGGCCTGATTGACCATTGTGTTCGTCCATTTTAATACTGATGTAACTCCACTGGGATTCACCAGCGTAAAACTGGAGCATTATGCCCCAGAACAAGCCTGGTTCTCGTCTCACGCAAGTTGTACATTGTACTCTGTTGACTTCAATGGAGTCATTACTGATCTGGACCAGAGGCAAATCAGGCCTAATATTCAGTGTTTCCAAGATTCACAATTTTAATCACAAGTCTCAGGATATTTGGTGTTCTTCCTTCAAGCCCCTGCTCCTGGAGACAGGTAATTATGTGACAATCTCATCTTTCATTAAAAAAATAAAAGAAAGTTTCAAGCCCTAAGATTGCAGAGAAAACCTTGAAAGTAGGAATGCTAAATGCTCACATGCTAGAAGACAAATACTAAGAACCCAAGATTTATTATTTTTTTAAATCTCATGATATTTTGGGGCCTAACTCTTGATTTGTGAACACTTGGGGTTGATAATACTGAGTACACCTTTTAAAAAACTATCTGGTTCCCTTGTCTCTCTCTGAATTTCTCTCCTTTTACCATTCGATATTTTTTAAATCTGTAGAATGTTTGAGACAGAATTTATAAGACACACTACAAAAAAGGGGTGTTGTATCAAATTAATGCAATCATTTTACATTTTAAATTAATTAAGTTAAATGTAAGATATAAAATGAAACCAGTTTCAGGATATGCATGTCAGTTACTTACTGAGCAGCTATTCATGTACAACTGTTTATACTTTACGTTTATATTTTATGTTTTGCAAGCTACTGTATTTAGCAGGAACCTATGATTGGCTCTTTCAAATATAGCTGTAGGTACTGAAGAGGATTCATCTGTGTCTGATAAAATATATATTCATTTAGTTAGAGATAAAAAGTCCCCCTAGATACTGTACCTACAATAATAAATTGCTTTTGATTCTCTTTTCAAAAAGACCAAATTGAATACAAAGAGGATATTATTACAGCTATTCTATCTAGCTAATACACAGTAAACATCAGCAGCTATTCACAAAAGCCAGGAATTATGTACAAGTATTGTAAAACAGAGATATATAGATCTGGGGAAGATTGGAAGGCTCCTTTTACTAATTAGTTGTTTTTATACACAGGATGCATTACCAAAACATTGCCACCAACTGTGCCTTTGATATGCATAGACAGAAGAGGGTAGAGAGAGAGAAAAAGGAGAGAGATGAGCTTTTGTCTGCCAGGAATTGTTTTGACTTGCCCATACCATGCACCATGCTTAAAAGCTTTGCCCAGACTCAGATCTGTATGTTATTTCAGGATATATGCTACCAGCCCAGTGACATGTAGTAAAACATTCTGTAGTCAAATTTCTGGATCATAAAATGATGACAAAGCTAAAATATATTGTACTGTATATAAGAATGACCAGAGCATCGAACACGTAATTTTTATCATGTTTTTGTTTCAAACACACTCTCAAATAATGCTTTTTTGTTTTTTAAAAACAACAGTGTAAAGATCTGGCATTGTTTATTGCTTAGAATGATCAATAAAATCAATGCCTGTTTATATAATCACCAATGTAGCCAAAATACAAGTTTTCATCTAAGATAAGAACAAATTTATATAGAAGACAATATCTAAAATATATCAGTCATCTTTGTGTCTCTCTATTGTATAGTACTCATTAAAAATGCATGATACTGTAAAAAGAGAGGAAGAACGGTGTTAAATTAAACCCACAACAAGTTCCTCAGGTATGATTCTGATACGTTTACATTCAGAGGATAATTAGACTTTTGGAACATGCTCAGCTATAATTCAATACAAATGTGCCTTACAATGACTTTGTAATTAGAATATTACCGCATTCATTCAAGAGATTATAATTTGGTTGATGCTGGTAAATGACATGTCAGTCACTTTTTGAGAAGTGGGAGCAGTGATAGTCCAAGTTTTGTTATACTGGGGTCTGGACGTGGTTTCAATACTCATCCTCTTTGAGGATCTGAAGTCCTTGCTCACCCTAACTCCCACTGACTTCAATAGACCTGCACTTTTGAACCCAGAGTGGGAGAAATTCAAGGGTTCCGTTAAAAACAAATAAAAGCCCTTATTCACAGAGAGAGTGTGTTGGTAGAAAGAAAGAGCTTACATGGGCTTATTATAAGAAAACCTTAGGAAGTTTACAGTGCCATAATGAAGACGTAAATGATAATCCTGTTCAGTACTGCTGCAAGCATTATCAAACCCAAGTCATTAAAAAATTCTATACTATATTATTTATATCCTTTAAAAATGCATTATTTTCAGAAAACCAGTTTATGCTGATTTGACATGTGCTATAATAATTTGAAAGCAGACACTTAACAGATGTAGCTGGTGACTACTAATGTAATTAAATTACCAATACTTTTAAGAGACAGCAATTTATTTTAAACATACTTTTAAGATGGTGTATGCAGTTAAGACCTGTCTTACTAGAATTGTATAGAGTAATACTCCAAATGCCATGGAAAGCACATCGCATGTGGCTGCTGATATCCTCTTTCCTAATACACCGTTATATCTAAATAGATATATTTTGTGTAGGGAGGGGTATACGTGTGTGACTACACATCCTGTATATTTTATACATTTTACAAAAACCAGTATTCTATTAGGCTACACATTTAGCCTAATTAGGAATTTAAAACTGCTTATGTACAACTCGATAGAGAGTGCACAATTTTTGGAACTTTAACTTGCATTTTTGACATTTCATGATTTTAATGGTCTGACCTCAACATTCCATTTACACGGTGCATCTAAAGGCTGCTCCAGCAGCTGAGTGCTGCAGAGAGCCAAAATGCTCAGAACTCAGTGTTTGCTCAATACCTGTTCCAAGAGGTTTCCGCATTGTGCAGAGAAGTATGCAATGCTCAGCAATGCGAGCAATCTCTATTTCCACAGTGAAAAGAGTTTTGGTGAATAAGGGGGAGAGCGAATATGAGAGGGGATAGATATCAAATATGGTCAGGGCACTGATACTTCAGCACAATCCAGTGAATGCAAAAGCTGTGCATAGAGGCCTTTTAAGGATTTTCACTGTCCCACTGCCTGCTAGGAGTGGCGATTCACTCTTGTGCTTGCTTAAAAGCTGTGCTTAGAAGAAACTGACAACAGGGAAGCCATGAAGACCAACCACCACGAAGACCAGATCAAAATGCTCCTGAACAGGAGCGGCGCCAGGGTTTTTGGCGCCCTAGGCAGGTGTCCTTCCGCGCTCCCGGTCGTCGTCGGCAATTCTGCGGCGGGGGGGTCCTTCCGCGCTCCCGGTCTTCAGGGCACTTCGACGGCGGGTCCCGGAGCGAGTGAAGGACCCGCCGCAGAATTGCCGCCGAAGACCCGGAGCGCGGAAGGACCCCCCGCCGCCGAATTGCCACCAAGGGCGGCAAAATACCCCTCCCCCCAAATCCTGGCGCCCTAGGCAACCGCCTAGGTCGCCTAAATGGAAGCGCCGGCCCTGCTTCTGAAGGTTCTCAGAAGACAGTGAGGTCAGGCCTTCAGATTTTATCAAGAGTCATGTGGTATTTGGTGTTTTTCTTAAAGCCTCAGCTCCTGGCGGCTTGTGAATATGTGAGAATCTCAGCTTGCATTAAAAAAAAGTAAGTTTCTAGCCTTTATGGTCATGGAATAAAACTTAAAAATGTGACCCACATGCACCCTAGAGATTCAAAAACAGAAGATAAATAAAAGCACCCAAAATGCATTTTATTTTTTTAAAAACAATGCATTTTTTTAAGCCAGTCCCATGATTTTGGGTGGCCTGACACACAATTTTTGATTGCTTGGGGTTAGTAATACTGAGTCCTCATGGCCAGCTTCCCAATGCCCCATGTGGGACTTCATAGTGTTCTTGCCAGCCTCCAATATCTGCTCCCCTCAGCTTACTGGTACATGAACAAAGCTTGGAAGCTTTCTATCTATAGGTCTACATTCTTCTGGGGGTGCCCAGCACCCCTGTATCTAAGCATCACCTAAGAGAATAAAACACAAGAAAGCACTGCTGGAAGAAAACATGCTAGTAGCTCAGTGCTGCTCTCTCGCAATCCTCATTATTATTAGTCTGCTAATAACATACATTGACAAGTGTGCACTTATGAAAACACAAAAGCACAATAGCCCATTTTCAATCATTCCTATTGTTGACTAGTTCAATTTGTACATACTCCTCAGTAGGGACTGTTTACACACCAGGCTTCAAAGCACAGTTGTTTTTGAATTCTGTGTGAAAAGAAACAGGACAATCTTTTCTTTTTAAAAAATGGGATAAGTTTATATTCTTCCACTCTTACGGACATCAAAAACAACTGAAGGGAATTTGTTCAAAAGCATCAGAGAAAACGACCTGGTGGCAGAAAATGTGTTGAAAATTTCAATCCCCAAAAGAGATTTTTTTTAAAGGTTATGAACGTGTGAAAATAAGAGGGGATCATCACTCAGAAGTGAGTGACAGCTCTTGATCTAGCATTTTTTACTGTGCTAACCGATCAGTACAATTAAAATCAAAGTACCAAAGCTGGGTGCACTGTGCAAAGTCATGTCCCGAATCACTCGTGTGCCAAAGCAGGACCACATCAAGAGGAACTGTTGAGCCACTTTCTTCAAAGAGCCTTGTCTCTTGGCAGCTACCTACAAGAAAATATATTATATATTTCACACAGATAATAAACATTCATTTTCATTTCCATTGTCTGGCCCAGCCCAACACTGTCCATGTCCATCCATTTTCTTCACTAAAACTACATCCTATTGTAAGAAAATTAGGATAAAACTTAAAACAGATACATATGAAGCCACCCAGTAATGATAATTATATACACATGAGTTTGCAGGAAGACGCCTACAATAAAATTATAACCCCTAAAACATAAAATGCTCATGCTTGTGGAGGATAACATTTGGATTATAAATAATGAAGGGATTTCTCAGACTGCCTAACAACATCCAGGTCTTCATCTTAATTTGATTCCCTTTGTTGGCGATTCTCTAGTTTAGGAAGAAAATTTATAATAAATACTGCTGGGAATATATTGCAAAAATAATGTATTAATCTGAATGTTTAAACTAATTGGCTCTTGGTGTGTTCACATCCTCTTTGCATTTCTTTCTGTGAACACTCAGATGATCATGTTTTACTCACAATTATACTTCTCAGAAAGCATATTGTAAGTTTACACTCTCAAAAGCTCATTTTCTATAAGTGTTACAGTAGCCGTGTCGGTCCCAGGATATTAGAGAGACAAGGTAGGTGAGGTCATATCTTCTATGGGACCAATTTCTGTTTGTGAGACAGACAAATTTGTGATCTTACACAGAGCTCTTCTTCGGGTCTGGAAAACTTAGAATGTCACAGCTAAATACAAGGTGGAACAGACTGTTTAGCATAAGTAGTTAACACATATTTCAAGGGACCATTCAAGGTGAAATGGCCTGTTAATTTTCATCTAGTCAGCAAATAGAAAAAATACCAGGTCCAATATGATCCATCATAACCACTCATAGTGATTTCAGATAGCAATCTATAGACTAAAGACATTTTTTTTTTAATTAAATAATTTCAAACAATTGATACATTTGGGAAATTTGGGGTGGGTGGGAGTTGTGGACATTCTGCAAACAGAAAAAGAGGTAATATTGTTTAATGAAGTGTTCTTAAGTTATTTACTCAGGTCTAATAGTGAACTCTGGAAGTAGAGTTGCAATTTTCCAACAGAACATGCTAATACAAAATGTATTATCATTCACGGACAGAAGCTAAAAGTATATGGTAAACTGTATAGTTACATATACTGCATAAAATTGTATTGATGTCTGATTGGGTGAGAGTGCTCATGTGTTCAGTCAGTAAGTGTCCACTCAAATAATACTAAAATTTAGGTCAGAGTTCAATTACTGGCGTTTCAGAGCAACTCCTAAAAATCGAACAGCTTAATCCCTAGCTGAACTATAAGCTAGTAGTTAACCTTTATTTACTAAAATGAATCAGCTGGACTAAATATTATCTTCATTAAACTCCCTAAAGGGCATATTAATTTATGATCTCCACCTGCAATGCTACATTATTCACTATACACTAGAGAGGAGTCTGAACCAACACCTCAGATCCATACACCCTTGAACGTTGGGGATGTTGAAAATCTGAACTCTGATCCAGCTCCGAATTTTGCAAATGGCTCCTATTTTTAGAATGGAATGAGTGAAAGTCTTGAATCTGAACACTCTCCGACTTTTGAGTCTGGAATTTGGATCCAGATTTTGCATCTTGAGTCTGTGTCTACTAGATACCCACTGCTTTGTGAAAACAAATATTGCACTTGGTTATACTGCACATAAAGTGATTCGGGTCCTAACTCCTATTTACCAACCTTCACAACGCATCTGTCCACCATGGAATCCAGCCACTCAATGTAGGACTCAATGGGTGACTGCTCCTCCAAAAGATGATCAAATTCTTGATACACTAAAGAACAAAGAAAAATACTCCAAATCAGGACTTTAATTCCATTTTAAAACAATAGAGAAAACAACTGTCACAAAACAGTCAATAATACGTCGCCAATTTGCTCAGCTAATTACAACAGGTCACTTAACTATAAATGTATATATGTACACCTTAAGACATCAAAGAGGTTGAAACTATTACTGTGCTTGGTCGCTATCCTGCTGCTATTGAAATCAGTGGGAGTTTTTAAAGGATTTCAGTGGGAGCAGGATCTTGGCCCATCATTTGAAATTCATCTTTTGATTTAAGCTTCAGCTGTCTATGCCCGGAAGTAAAACACATTTATGGTGTTCACAGTGCAGAGCAGTAAGCTAGGCTTTGACCCTCATGAGGAAGAAAGGCCATGCATGAAATTGATTTAGAAATGCATAGAGAATCTTTTAAACACCCAATGGATGAGTATTGTTGATAGGCCTCTCATCAGCAAATCTCCAGTGCATAATGCTTTAGTTTTGAAAACGGGCTTCAACGGCAACTGTCATTTATTTGTAACATCAACCAAGCAAAAAAAAGTGTTTCCTATAAAACGTGTACTTTTATAAAGTGAATTACTACCAACACACAAATGCCATGCTGACTATACCTAAAGGAGATTCTACAGACAGGCGATCCTCTTCCAAATATATTTTTCAAAAATATAGAGAGTAAACTCAGATGGCCCATTCAAATGTGTCAATTAAATAGGAGAATCTCCAATTTATTTAGGAGAAGACGCTATTGGAAGACAAGGACTCATGTGTTTGAGCATCTCAAGGAATTGCTCTGCAATTTAGCTACAAAAAATGGTCCCCTAAATCAAAAGAAAAGATGCTTTTATACCTGCTGTGTCACAGGGTGATTTAAATGCGCTGTGCACGTCCATTTATACTTCATTATAAACAGCAGGAGAGAGGAATTTCCCACCACTGGAGTGGATGCTAGGGGCAGGGAAAGGAGGCAAAGCGCAAAGTTGGCAGCTAGGGAAGAGTGCAGGAGACATGGAGAAAAAATGCAAAATACAAGGATGCTCTCCACTTAAGCAGCATGGCCATTCTTTGTAATAGCACCCTGGATTGGGAAGTATTGTTGTGAGCTGAAGCAACAGATCCAGTAGGAACACATTTAAGAGCTTCCTTGTCTTACAAATGACTGTGCATTGATTCCATTTAGACTTAATTACAAAGAGGTAGATTGTCACAGCTGTTATTCAGCCACCTAGGGGAACAATGGGGAGCAAGACTCCCCTTCCTTTCCCACTCAAACCTGCTCGTATTAGGACCCTGGATGCAGACGGGAGAACTCTACTTGTCGAATACTTCCCACTGCACGCAAGCCAGTGGGGAGAGGGTGGAGGGAGCAGGGCATAGGAGGAACCCTCGCTCTGCCTCCTTAATCCAGTACCTGGCTGGGCATAGAGTGGGGAGTAAGCTGCTTCAGCTACATCCTCTGCGGAGAGAGGAGGGGAGCACAAGTGGAACTGTGATCTTCCGAGTCCCAGTTTGTTGTCTGGCTGGGAAAGTGCCGCTACGCACCGTTCCTTACTCAGGGCTGATTACAAAGTTACCATCTGGCCCAAAGCAGCTGTTGCAGACACATCTGCAGGGGCCTGAAGGAATGGAGCACCGGGGGAAAATCATGATAGAAGTAGCCCTATTGTTAAAAACGAGAAAAGCCACTTTCTAGTTAGTAACAAACGACTGTCATGTTCAGTGGAAATCTGCCAATCTGGAAGATATTTTTCCAGTTATTATAGTTGGAAATTGTAACCTCTGGAGGCTGAGTGTTGGGATTTCCCAGCACCAGCAGGATGTAAAGGAGCACTGGAAACCTACATTGGACATGCGTATTAAGAAATCCCAATGCCATAATTATAAAGTGAGGGCCCAATTTCACTGTGTGAGGAGGCACCCAGCAAAAATGTGACACTTTCATGCATGTGTGCGTGTGTGTGGGAAATAAGTAAAGTGGACTGGGTGAAATAAGAACCAGCCTGAATCTTCATCCAACGCTTGAAGCCAACCTACGCCAGCCCCTTTTAGAGGTACAGAACAGTTTGGCTTTGTCTCTTCCCCTTACCTATGTTTTCAACCCGGATTTGAAATGAGACTGAGAACTGACGGAGAGGCAAGCCTTAGGGGGCCAGGAACACCTTTTCAATCTGTGTGCGCACAGTGCTTAGCACAATGGCCTCTGATTCAGACTATGGCTGTTAGGTACTACTGCAATACTCATATGGAATGGCGAGACATGGGAGAGTTATCCTAGAGTTCTTGGTGATTCAGAGGAAACATCTATCAACAGCAGTAAGAGTGCACAGAAGGAAGAGAGGAGGCGATACTACGGGAGGATTCAAAGGAATTAAGCTGAATTTCCAGCCTGCTGTAAATCTTCCAGTAGAAGGGGGAATACTGACTTGCAACAGCAGTACCGAATTTGCTGCAAAGGAGCTGAAAATACCACCCCAGAAAGAAGGTTCACCTTTTGGAACTAGCTCCTTGTAGACATATCCTTGGTTACATATCTTTAAATGATCTTCATCTAGGTAGAAACTATATCCAAAGTTGGAAAAAAGCTCTTGAGGTCAGTGTCATATATATACCCTTGTCTCAATGTAATCCTCAACATGTACACTGGGTTGGGTTACCGCTTCTGGTCTTCTCCTTTCACACCTTTCTCCTCTCCCTTTCTGTTGCAAACTGCTACCTGCTAAGACTGGCCCCTTCTGGAAAGCACTTATGTGCTGAATTCCATCCACTCTTCAGGAAAGTTCTTAAGCACTTGCTTAACTTTCATGGGATTTAAATATGCACTGAAAATTTAGCACTTGCTTAAGGGTCCTTCCTAAATGGGGATGCTCTCCTGAATCTGGGCCAGAAACATTACTGATATTAAGTATTAACCCTTTGGGAACTAGATAATTTCTAGGGGTTTTGGGTGTATGCTGAGGATGGTTAAAGAATAAGAGAGATTTTCTGGCTGCTGTGAGCCAGGATGAGTCTGGATTCTAGGCTTCAGCATGGATTCTAGGCTTCAGCATGTCCTGAACTGCTTATTTTTCATCTCCTTCCTGTCCTGAATTCTCACTACTCTCAACCTCTCATTGCTGCCTGCTCCTGGCTCACTCCCCTCAATCCACAGTGAGCAGGAGGGTCATATCAGGAGGTAAACTCAGGGACTGGGAGGAACTGGCAAAAATCCCAGAACAGTTCTCTGCTGGGAAATGGAGCCAGCAGAAGGTGATCAGGGGATGTGATGCCTTCTTCCTGCTTGGGGATGAGTCTTTCAGAGGTCAGTGAGGGATGTGAGGTAGATGGGAGCATTTTTGTCATCTTCAGGAAAGAAAGGAGGAGGACTCCAGCTGGAGTTAGAGGTTGAGACTGCTACTAAAGACAAGAATACTCATATTTAATATCTCAGTGTAGCACACCCAGAGATGCACACACATTTGTTGTCAGAGTTCTAAGGGTTAGAAATGGCATCACATGCACATTCTCTGAGCAACTTGTGTCACTACTTTACACATGGAATAGATGAGCTTTCCCCCTAAAATAGGGTGACCAGACAGAAAGTGTGAAAAATCAGGATGGGGGTGGGGGGTAATAGGAGCCTATATAAGAAAAAGACCCAAAAATTGGGACTGTGCCTATAAAATTGGGACATCTGGTCACCCTACCCTAAAACCAACTTGCCCCTTTAAGAAAGCACAACTTTTACAGGGTTTCTACAAGTCATTCTTTGACCTATGCCCTTCAATAAACCAAGCAGTGTCTATGTCAGCCAATCAGATTTCTGGATGTGGGATACATATTTGCTTCTAAAAGTTCATAAATAAAACTTCAGCCAATCAGAGACTAACTTGCTGTTAAAATGCTTTGTGAAACCAGCGCTTTAAAAAAACATAAGCCTCTGGAAATGACTCAAATAAAAATGGTCCTGCTGTCAAAGCCATTCAAAAGGCAGTTATCCTATAATAGTATAATTGGGTAAACAACCACCATTCTACTCTATCAAATAAAATGATTAGGGGCTTGATCCATAGCCCGTTAAAGGCAATGGGCAGACTTCCACTGACTTCAATAAGCTTTGGATTGGGCCCTAGATCCGCATCAGTCATTAGGAAGACTAGAAATAATTTCTTTAAACAGAATATTGTCCATATTCACGTCTCAAAGTGGAACATCTTGGTTTTGGCTCACCTTTCTTTTTGATACGTGTTTCAGTATTTATCTGAGCAGCAAGCGAGCAGTAGCCAGTAATGATGTGCTACCACATTGCTACAATATCTCAATTATTAAACTGATTGACTGTAAAGCAATTATTATAAAATTGCACATTATTATTATTGTGGTGTTTTGTATTCAACAGGAAACACGTTTCAGGGTTCCCCGTACCACATTTGAGGGTTTTATTCTTACATTGTATGATGAGCTTTCTGTGCTCCTCACGCGAATCCTCCATGGTATACAGAGTTTGTTTGGTAATGCTGTTCAGATCCACATTCCTCCAGTCCTCCAGCATTTGAAAGGTAATGTCTGCACTGTGGATCACCGTTCTTGATGCCTATAATCCAATCCGATCTACTCATTAGTTCATGGTTTATTAGGTTAAAAATAGACTTCATCCCCTTTTACGCTCCCTTAGCGAGCCTCACTAAGTTGATTCTCAAACCCCACACACCTCTTGATCCTTTCTGGAAGTTACCGGCCATGGTAGCTGGACAGAACTCTGAAGCCATTTTTACCAACTCTACTCAGCATGTATTTGGTTTCCACAAAGTACAAATCTCGACAGGTGTTTCTAATCAAACTGCTCTCTCCCTAGACCATTAATTCTACAAGGTTTGGGCTGCAGTTTTGGGTTCATGTCAGTCCAAGAACAAAAACACATTGGCCCAGATCCTCCCCATCAAACTATGTAGGGAGGAAACACTCTGAGTATGCATCTTCCCCCCGACACAGGAAAAGGAAGCTCACCTGCCCCCACACTACCACCTGCCCATCCTCTGGACCATGAAGAGGCCTCCCTGCACAAAGGGAAGGAGTAAGCTGAGGGAAACGTGGGTGGTGCTGGATCAGGGCCACACATCCGTCCTGTGTAAATTAATCAGTGAAGACAATCCAGACTTGGCCTGTATTATCTTTTCCAGAGAGTCTCCCTTGGGGACCATGGCAGCCTGAAAAGTCCCTGGTTTAGGAAGCTGTTGAGGGGGCAGAGCTGTGTGAATGGCTTTGGTCTTCTATAGATTCCTCTGAGTCTATGCAGGTTCTTGTGGATCTACCAGGTTTGTGGGTAGACCCCACAGCTCATGCAGCAGGATGGCAAACCTTCCCCCACAAATGAATTAAAGGAGGAGAAACTCCACAAAGCATCCTCACTGAGATCTCCTTCCCTCAGGGGGTATTTCTGCTGTAGGGCTTAATCTGGAGGATTAGATACAGTTTTCAAATGTAGTCCCTCGAACTGCAGTGTGGGACAAACCCTCAGCTGGTGTCAATGGGTGAAACTTCACTGGAGTCAAGGGAGATGCTCCTATTTATACCATCAGAAAATCTGGCCCTGTGAATTTTGCACAGTTCCCGTGGCCTAACTGAGTCAGTGAAAAATAAATTCACATAGTATATTCCACCTGCATGGTGGATTTTTATCAGTAAAACAATGGGATACTATGAAGCTTATATTCACAGCTATAAGAACTTTAATAAATTATAATGGTAATTTTATTTATTAAATGAACTCTACTGAAGTACTGTCTGGCATGACAAACAAGTTTTGATAAATAAACCATTTCAAAACCCCAGAAGAAAATAATCCATTTTAAAAACAAAAACAAAAATACAGAAAAATATAGTCTATTCATCCTCACAAAATGATAAAAAAAGAAAACTAATAGAGTGGGCCCTATGTAAAAGGAAAAAAAGAAAGACAAAATAAACCTGTTGAAATAGTTCTATTTGTATATGCTGCTACTAGTTTTCAGGTTAATTTTATGGAAGAAAAACAATCCATCATGTATGTCTATGAGAGCATCTTTTGCAAAGTGTCAAGTATCAGAGGGGTAGCCGTGTTAGTCTGGATCCGTAAAAGCAGCAAAGAGTCCTGTGGCACCTTATAGACTAACAGACGTATTGGAGCATGAGCTTTTATGGGTGAATACCCACTTCTTCGGGTGCATGTAGACCACTTTGCAAAGTGGTAAGTCTGCATAACAGGCTTAATCAGTTTTTATCTAGGTAAAACTCCCCAGTTCTGCCAGAATAAAGACTGGATTAAAAAAAAGAGTAAAGTGCTCAGGATTTGAGAGCACTTGGTTTTAAACTGAAGTATGTAACCACAAAAAGTGAATATCTGCCCTGTATTTTGTTTTCACTTGAGGTTTAATGTCACAACTAGGTATGGTGTTTTCTGTCTAGAAAATGGACAAATTGCTTCTCTCATCAAAGGCCTGATCCAAACCCAACTGAAAAATCTATGGAAAGTTTCCCATTGGTTTCAATGGGTTGAACTGGATCTGAAACCTCTTCTAGAATCAGAACCTGAATTTGTTACATAGAAGTCACTGGGAGTTTTGGGTGCATGAAGAATGCAGGATCAGCCCCACTATCTAACAAATAATTTAACTGATTTTTGGATGGTTTTGTAGCTTATCTATAGAAGATCATAATAAATAAATATTAGAAACAAAACTACTAAAGCAGGGGTGGGCAAACTTTTTGGCCTGAGGGCCACATCTGGGTATGGAAATTCTATGGTGGACCATGAATGCTCACGAAATTGGGATTGGAGTGCGGGAGGGCTCCAGCTGGGGGTGCGGACTCTGAGGTGGGACCAGATATGAGGAGTTCAGGGTGCGGGAAGGGGCTCCAGGCTGGGGCAAGGGGTTGGGGGGGGGTGTGGGGCTCCATCTGGGGGTGTGGGCTCTGGGGTGGGGCTGGGGATGAGGGCTTTGGGGTGCAGGGGGTGCTCTGGGCTGGGATCGAGGGGTTCGGAGGGCTGGAGGGGGATCAGGGCTGGGGCAGTGGGTTGGGGCACAGGAAGAGGTCAGGGGTGCAGGCTCTGCGCGGCGCTTACCTCAAGCAGCGGCATGTCCCCACTCTGGCTCCTACACGGAGGCACGGCCAGGCAGCTCTGTGCGCTGCCCTGTCCACAGGTGCTGCCCCTGCAGCTCCCATTGGTCACGGTTCCCGGCCAATGGGAGCTGCGGGGGTGGTGTGCGGAGCTCCCGGCTGCCCCTATGCATAGGAGCCAGAGGGGGGACATGCCACTGCTTCTGAGAGCCGCACGGAGCGGGGCAAGCCCCCAATCCCACTCCCTGGCTGGAGTGCCGGTGCGAGGCAAGCCCCAGACCCCGCTCCCTGGTGGGAACTCAAGGGCTGGATTTGAACGTCTGATGGGCTGGATGTGGCCTGCGGGCTGTAGTTTGCCCACCCCGTACTAAAGCCTCATATTCCATTGTTACCTCCAAGAGAGTTTCTCCTTGTGCAATATCCAACCTGCAAACTGTTACAACTGTCAGCAAAAGCAGCATGGAATAAACTTAGCAGGAATGGATAACCACTGAAATACCTACCTGGCAGAGATGATTTAATGAGGTCTGCCGCCGGAGAATTTGTGAAAACCTTCTGGACACTGCAGGAAAGGAGAATTACATATTTAGGTAATATGCCAAATAAAGAAACTTGATTTTAAAAGTACCTTGTTAAAACTAGCATCAATTAAATACACTGAATTTCCTTTCTGTTAAAACACATATTTGTGACTTATTTATTGTTCATATTAATTGCCCAGTTTTCAAAGATGGACTTCTGAATAGGACATCCAAATCTTACATTTGGATGCTCAAATCAGTAGTTACAAGTATGTATAAGGACTATTCATATCTGTAAATGATGGTTTGAGTGTCCCAAAAAGGGATTTGGGCATCTTATTAAGGTATCCATACTTGTAACCTAGGCTGTAAATATTTATTCTCAAAACAGCATCTGAAATGTATGATTCCCAATCCTGCAAACACTCACAGCCATACAGCTTTCTGTCACCAATTCTTCCATTGGCTTCAATGGGACTGCACAAACAATAGTAAATATTATGTAAGTAATCATTTGCAGGATAGCCAGGCATCAAGTACAAGTAAATGCTAGTGTGTTCTCAAGTTTATTATCATGTTATAATCACTAAAGATCTGCAGATCAAAGCAAATAATCTATAGAGATATTTGAAGTCAGATTTGTTGGTATTACATATTCCTTCTATATTGTCCATGGAGGTAGTTAAAATATATATTTTCAGATTTATTAGAATGTTCATTGTCCCAATATTTATATGAGCAGAACAGATTTCACTGTTGTGGATTCTCAATAGTTTTGAATTGACAAAGAACTGACAAAAATATTCTCAGGACACATTTTCCATAATTTTTGAATAACTAAGTAAATGACCAAAAATATCCAGTGGATTATTCTAATTTATGTCCTGAGTACTTTCTGCAAAACATACTCCTAATTTTCCATGCTGATCAGTAGTTAATCCTTCTCCTAAATTAGTTTTTTTTTTAAACTTCTGATGTGGAATTTACTGCTCATGAAAAGCAAAGAATGGAGAGCTGTGAAATAAAGCAGGCTTTATCAATAGGTGATGCGCACTGCAGGCATCTACAAAGCATGTCTGAAAAGGCATAGTGCCCTTTCCTGTGGTGACAGGGTAATTTGATCCCCTTCATATTTAACTCTGGCACTTCTTTGGAGTGAGGGCCTCAAGCTGTATTCAAATTGTGCAAGTCTATAGGTTTGTTTAATAATTTGCTTTGCCTAATATCATGCCTAATGCTTGCTTACTGTCAACAAATTAATTTCTTATCAGAGTCCACAAAAAAGGAAAGACAACTGGTCTTAGAGCTGTGCCTTATTACATTTAAAGGAAATTGGTTCTCATGAATGAGTGGAGATTATTGGTTAATGAAAGATCTGTAATGTTGATCTATTTCATGACTAATGGAACATTTTCCTAGCTTCCAATTAATTTGTAACTGATAAATAACACATTCTTCTCACATAAGAAAAAAAGAGACTGCTCAATACATACACTCAAACTTGATATTTCGGAGGTTTTCTGGCAGGTCATAGAGAGCTACTTTTAACCACTCATCCAGCTGTTTTGCAAACTTTCGGATCACCTGAGTCAAGCTGAAAAGAGAAATCACTACTTAAGAAAATGTACACTCTGTGGTCTATACGGCAGTGCCTGGAAGCATGTAAAGCCAGAGTTTCACCACCCAGCATATCATTTTTAGTTACAATTTATAAACAAAGGTACCTAGGACACAATTTTCAGATGTGGGCATCTTAATAGTACATTTAGATCCTCCATTTGGGATATGAAATTGACATTAAGGTTCATAATACAGGAATTCATGCACTTAATTGCCAATTTGAACAGCCACATCTGGGTTCTGGAAGTCTCACTGGTTGTTTACATTTAACAATTGTGCCATAACATAAAAGGGAAATTTTGACATAGCTTCAGGAGGGTGGAGCGACTATTGGGCCAGATTTGATTCTCTGTTATACCCGTGTATATATGGAGAAAATCCGTTAAAGTCAGTGGTGTTACTCCACATTCACACTAGTATAATTCTTCTAAGCAGAATTCACCCTACTACAGTCTATGGGGCCCACTGGCAGCCCAGTAACAGGGCTTTTTAGTGAATAGTTTAAACAGGCCTAAACATAGGAAGCTGCATAAAAATAACAGACCTTTAGAAGTTTGGAAAGGGGAAGAAATAGCCCCATTTCTTAAGTGACTACATTTTGGGAACTGTATTCTCAAACCAGGTCAGATCTGAATCCTGATCATGCAAGTGACTGTCTGGGCAGCTCCTACACCTGTAGGTAGCCCCACTGTGCACATAGAGTCACCTGCAGGATCAAGGACTTGGACAGTATAGAAAACATCTGAAAATATCTGAAGCAAAAGGAAAAATACCCAGAATACGTTGAGCTCAGGAATAGTTTCAGATTCATCTTCATTCAAATCAACTTTAAAGATGGCTTCCATACTTCACTAAGCTTACAATTGTGTTTGGTGGTTTCAGTTTGGGGTGGTGGGGAGGAAATCAGCCTCAACCTATTCAACTGTCATAAAAAAAAATCATGGTCCTACTCTCAGTCATCACTTTAAGGAACAGTAGACCCAAGATTAGAGTTTTGAGCTCTATTGTGCCCAGCCCTGCATGGGTACACAAAGGTGGAAGGGGGAGGACACACAGAAGCTTTTCCACTCCTTATGGAGCCCCTGTGTGGGGACTGGGCTCAACTCATTGGATGTAGTGCACAGCCAGTTTCCTGTGGATACTAGCTACTCACACTGCGGCAGGAAGAGGTGTGTTGCAGAGGACATGGCCATGGTCCTGCCTTCCTCCACATGGGCTATCTTAGAAGGCTGGGCGTGGATGGGAGTGCTTGATGCCCCCACTGAAAGGTTGGCTGTGTTGACACTGCAACATTTGTTCCCAGGGAATTCCGGCTGAGTCAGCAAGATTTCCTCCAAGGGCTTCCATTGCTGTGTCTCCATTGCTGCGAGACCCTTCTGCACTCCCTCCAGTGTGGGCCATGGCTTAACAGCCACAATCTGGCCCTTTATATGCATTACAAAAGTCCATATTCACACTCAAGTCTCTCCTTATTTGCTCTGAAAGAACTAAGCAGCTTGAAAAAAGGGCTGCTATGCAATTTAATCCTTCCGATGAAATAGATTGGGGGGGGGAAGGAGAGGGAGCTGAAGTCTGCAAAAACTTGCAAGATTTAGCAAAGAAATCCATGCTTGTACCCTGTTCCTGGTTGCAGACAGATACTTTGCATCTACTTAACAAACCATACAATCTGAACACTGCACTCTAGTTTAAGTAAGTAGAACAAAAGCCAGAAAACATTTGGTGTAATTAGAGCTACAATAAAATGTAGGTGACCAAACGTACGGTGCAAAGAGTGAACACTCAAAGCAATAGTCTCAACAAATTGTTAGCAAATCTTGTGCTGAATTTTGTCAAATAATTTTGAATATTGAACAAATTCATAAAAATCTAAGTCTCTTTTCAGAAAATTCACAAAGAGAAAAAGAAGCTACATACACTGGTTGAATAAAACTTTCTGCAGTTAATTGATGACCCTAACCCTGCTTTCTCTATGTAACAAAACTCCATGGACACAAATGAATTACATGTAGGAAGAGAACAGACAAGATCTGACATGTAGATCAGAAAGGAGAATTTAGCTCTCAAACTAGTGTGGAAAGGTTATGCATCTTTCCTGCAGAGATAGGCCGTGTGGGCCTGGTTCTGGACCATGTGAAGAAAGTCACCCCCAAATGGGCACAATCCTATCATGCCCACTATAGTATTTAAATGCATCCATGTTCTCTCAGAGGTCAGCCTTACACCCAGCCCCCACACACATTCTAAGTGGAAGAACAATTTGGGTCAGAGACTGTGACAGAGACTAATGCTTGGATTTCTGCAGTTGTGTATGCATTTGTGCATATACAGGTAGACCATACTAACTACTCTTGGAGCCATAACTCGGAATATTGAGCTCTCAGTCCTGGAGAAGTGACTGATACAGCCTCTCTGAAAGTTTTCAAAGGAGGCATAATGAAGGCATTCCACTGCCTATAGATTTCTGGTTGGCATTCGTTCACATGCCAGCTTCAGTCTGACCATTTATATGCTATGAGACATTTCTATCTATCTTTAAACTCATTTAAATTGATTCTGACCTGGATTCAGGAAATAGGAAATATGTAGGGAAATTATGCTTTTTAAGAACTGCACCAATAGTGAAAACAAATCCACACAATCAACAAAAACAATTCAAACAAAAACTGTCAATACTGCAGAACATACTAACCTGTCAGGTAATGCTTGCAGTACTGTTGGCATCAAAACTCCAGAAATAGCTTTGTACAATATTGAATCACAAACCCCAACTATATTTACTACAGTGGAAGAACCCAATACAGGAAGCATGTGAGGCGGCATCCCTTGCCAAAAGTGCAGAAGAAAACTTTGAACCTAGAATTACACACACACAAATTATACATGGCAAATATGATTTTCTTCTTAAATGATCTAATTCCATATTACTGATATGGCACCATAATTGCACGCGGTGCTGCACAAAACTCACACGACAGAGTCCCTGCCTGGACAGGCTTCTGCTGTAACTTAGATAAACATGGTACATCATAAGATAAATGCCCAGGAGGATAAAGGGGCATTGCCATGGGGAGATCAGTTTAAGGAAAGCTTTTGCCTTAGCAGACTGCACGGGTTCCATGCATGCCACGCAATTTTTATTCTCCACCAGCAGGCACAATGAGTGCAGCACCTTGACTTCCACATATACAGCCTGATTTTCTACAGCTTGCACCTTACGTAGCCATTTATATATGTGCAAAGTGAATGCCAGGAGGGGGCTAGAGCTGGTCAAAATACGGGAAGTATTTTCCATGGACATTTTTGGAAGGAACAAAACATGTTTGGTTTTTTGAAAGACATTTTCTGTTTTTTTTTTTTAAAATTGAAACTGAAAATGTTTCCACTAGAAAGGGAAAGGCGGGGGAGAGAAAGGAGAGAAATAGGGAAGGAGGGGAAATCTATTTTCAGTTTAATTAAAAAAAAGTAGGTGGGAATTTCAGCCAAAACAGACATTTTCTGTGAAAATTTTCATTTAGGAAAAAAAGCCATTTTCCATGGAAAAATACTTGATGAGTTTTAGAGCAATCAAAACACTAGCATTCCAATTTGATAGCATTTTAGACCCACTTTGCACTGATGTAAATGACAACACAAAGTGCAAAGCAGCGGAGAATCAGGCCTGTAAAAGGTATAGCCATCAGAGGTGCTGAAAAGCAATCAGATTTCCCAATGAGATATTTGACTAAGGAACTATTGTGGAGCTGAACCTGCAAATTCTCCTATATATATGCTTATTCAGTGCCACTGAAGTCAATGGGACTAGAACAGGGGGTATTTGCCTTATATAAGCTGTATGTCGGTTTTACTCTCATTAAGAAACTGCCTTGATCCCTATTTGAAGATGGGTGATTGTTAACAGGGAAGCTACCAATGGAAAATATTAAAATGGGAGAGTGTTCCTATTTCACTTGAGTAAATTAAAACATCTAGACTGGATGTAATCGTTTAAAGAGCCTCAGCTTGAAACTGGAAAAGTGTGGGGAATAATGCAGCATGAGAGACAGGCCTAGGGAATTCTGCCCACACTCTGGCTGGGATGTTCAAAGGGGCCAACCCGAATAGTTGCCCAGCTCCCATTGACTTTCAACGGGAGTTGGGTGTCTTGATTTTCTTAGGTTCCTTTGCAAATTCCAGTCTCTGTGCATTCAGACTTATTTCCCTTAACTAAATACTTTCTGCAAATTACTTTACACATCAAGAACTGCAAACTCCCAAAATTGCTGAACTATAACAAATGGCTAGGTAGCAGTTCTGCAGAAAAGGACCTAGGGGTCACAGCGGACGAGAAGCTGGATATGAGTCAACAGTTGTGCTCTTGTTGCCAAGAAGGCTAACGGCATTTTGGGCTGTATAAGTAGGGGCATTGCCAGCAGATCGAGGGATGTGATCGTTCCCTTTTATTTGACATTGGTGAGGCCTCATCTGGAGTACTGTGTCCAGTTTTGGGCCCCACACTACAAGAAGGATGTGGAAAAATTGGAAAGAGTCCAGCGGAGGGCAACTAAAATGATTAGGGGTCTGGAGCGCATGACTTATGAGGAGAGGCTGAGGGAACTGGGATTGTTTAGTCTCCAGAAGAGAAGAATGAGGGGGGATTTGATAGCAGCCTTCAACTACCTGAAGGGGGGTTCCAAAGAGGATGGAACTCGGCTGTTCTCAATGGTGGCAGATGACAGAACAAGGAGCAATGGTCTCAAGTTGCAGTGGGGGAGGTCTAGGTTGGATATTAGGAAACACTATTTCACTAGGAGGGTGGTGAAGCACTGGAATGCGTTACCTAGGGAGGTGGTGGAGTCTCCTTCCTTGGAGGTTTTTAAGGCCCGGCTTGACAAAGCCCTGGCTGGGATGATTTAGTTGGGAATTGGTCCTGCTTTGAGCAGGGGGTTGGACTAGATGACCTCCTGAGGTCCCTTCCAACCCTGATATTCTATGATTCTATGAAAGGCTATGTAAGTGCATGACCAGAAAGTTCTCAGACTAAGAAAAATAGGTTGCAAATTTGTGGGGGTGGTTTATATACTGAAGCCAGTCAAACCTATGTGATGCCTCAAACTGGCTGCAATGAATCAGTCTGACTCTCATATCCAGAATACATGCCCATTCCTAGCAGATATCCAAGCAAACAATGGTAAGTGTTACTAGCAGCACAGGGCTATAACTGGGTAATGGTAAATTTATACTGACCATTGAGAAAAATTCCCTAAGATTGATATGTTACTGTATAAAGACCTCCCTAGGAAAGTGATGGAAGACTCATTTCTTGAATCACACAAAATTGGACTGGCCAGCACTTAAAGAGTATACTGTAGGGGCCAATCCTGCATTGGAGGAGGGGTAGACTAGATAATTTAGTAGATTTTTTCTCTAATTTATGTGATGATATAAATAAGAGTTATCATGTATAAAGCACCATATATACACTAATGTAAATAGTCTCTATTATTTACAAAAATGTACCAGATAATCTATAATTTGAAATATCACATTCAAAATATGCTCCAGAAGTCCTAGATACATTAAATGTTATTAAACTACAGCTCTTTTCTTTCTCAGCATACCTCATCAAAGTTGGCTCTTATTACAGTGTCTAGTATCCTCTGACAGTGAGTTCTGTACATCATAATAAAGGTAGAAACCTGAGAAAGAAAAGGAAAGACACACGAAAGATCATTTTACTTTAAAAAAATATCAAATCAAATTTAAAAAACTTCTGCTTTAAAAATGACTATCAAAATACACAGTACAAAAGGAACATGGGGGTTTCCCTCCATATATAATTGCAAAAAATACTAAAATCAGCTGAAGTGATGAGTTCAATTAGATAACTGTTAGGAACAATGCAAGTCTTAAAGCTAAATTCTCCTTTTTGAGACCTACAGAGGCTTCCTTGATGGAGAGTCTGCAAGTATAAAATGAGCAAAAAAACCTTGATGAGATCAACAGGAAGAACATAGCCCTTAATTAGGATATATAGAACCCTATTTATTTTGTTCAGTTTACATATTTACTAAACACATGAATAGTGTATGCAAAGTAGATCAATCAAGGGTCAAGACATTTTGCCATATGCACATATAAGATTTCTTTCACTTTCCAGCCCACAGGAAGGAGAAATGTAGTAAATACACTCTTTCCTCAGGAAAGTGTTATAATAGATTTCTTTCAGCTTGCAAACAAGGGAGTTCAGACTTTGTAGATGATATAGTCGATTACAGAAACAGAGGCCTAGAATATTACAATTGGTGACATAAACAGATACCCGTTGCTAACCCTTTCTTACTGTATACACTGTGTCTACAGAATGAGTTTACATTGAACTCAGAAATGTTGAAGAAAAAAAAAGCTACAGTAGATTTTTTGTCAGACATTTAAGTGAGAGAAAAATACGTGCCCCTAGCATATGGAGCAATTAAGTCCCTCATAAATAAAGCCAAGGCATTATTAAACTCACTGTTTTTTAAGACCCTTGTATTTTAGATCAACCTTTCATCAACAGGAAAAAAGCAAGGCAAGCCAAAGAAATATTTCAAAAGCGTTACCTTCTCCTCTGGCAGACTGGCTGGCAGATTTAGATCTTTGACATTTGGAAACTCTGGCAGTAACGTTCCAAGTTTGGATCGTGGTGAATACGCCACTGTCTGTTTGGTTACTTCTTTTTTTCCTGTTTCATTGACCCAGGCTGCTCCTTTCTTAGAATACATCACGTCATAATACTGAGAGCTCTCTTTCACTGCAATGCCATAGTAATGGTACCTGATACATGAAGATACACATTTTATAATCAACCTATTCATATAGCATACAAAAAAAGGGTGGGAGGAGAGAAAATATGCAATTGCTGGTGGTTTCTCTTGCAAAACAGATGTGTGCCTGTGTACATTTGGTGCACAAGCACCGATTTAATGGCAGAATGACATTGTAATGCATCAAGTTTCGAAATATCAATCCTGCTGGTAAAAATAGCTCTAATCAGGAAGAGTAAAGCTGGTTTTGCGGTACGGCAGGGAACTAACGGATTGCAACTTTTTGTTTGTGCTTTCTTAAAATCCTCAGCTGTAGCTTAAAGCTACTTGTTGTCTAAGCACTTGCACTAGAGCTCTGCAGCTGATCACTTTGCTTAGCTATGAGCAGAGACAGAGCGCCAGACCAACAGGACTAGCCCCTCTGCTATATTTCCAGCTCCCTGATTCTCAGGCCACTGAGTGCTGGTTGGATCCTGGGGAGCAAAAGTCTTTATCACACATAGAGCTGATTGGAAAACTTCAGATGAAACAAAATTTCAAAGAGAAACATAAAAAAAGCATGGCACAAATTGGCAAATCCCAGGAATGTAAATTTCAGGATAAAGTTGATTGCAGCTTGGATTACTATCCTCATTAGGCTGAGACCAATGAGGGCTGTTACATGACAGGATAACACCACCTGTGCTACAATACATAGGGAAAACAGTGTAGGCTTAACACTGTTTTTACATCACTGCCAAACTGAATCAGCCCTATCACTGTAAATTTGTGCTACAGTTTAGTATTATCATAGATGATAATGGGACCACTCATTATCCAGTCCAATCCCCTGCATCAAAGCAGGATGGACCATATGATTCTTTCCATCAACTTGCCTAACCTTGACCACAGCAACTCAGCCATCACTACCGCATTGTGATGATTATGAAAATAGACAATGTCACACAAATACCCTTCTCTTGAAACATTCATTCACTTCTTTGTTTTTCCTAGAGAGAGTTGTCTGGCATCTTCATGTCCTCTCATAGGCCTAGTGTCACAGACACCTTCTGGGGCGTGGCTCCTCTGGGAGCCCATCGGTGATGCTCCACTGGTCAACCAAAAGAGACTCACTTGAAAACAACATTAGACTGAGTGGGATTTTCAAAAGCCCCGAAGTGACTTCTGAGCACAAGTCCAATTGGCTTTCAATGGCATTTATGCTTCTACATCACTTCAGCACTTTTGAAAACCCCTCTCCATTCCCTAGTTCCCTTTAAGGGCTTAGGGCAGACCCCAGATTCCACGCAGGACAGCAGACTACCAGACTAGTCCTAACTACAGCTGGCTGAAATTCAGGATTTCTGGTTCAAGGGAAATTTGACAGTTAGAAATCTGATTCAGACCGAAACCAAATTGTTCAAAGTTTCCTGTGTGAACTGAAAATTCGGGGGGTGGGGGGGAGGGGGGAAATGATTTTGGAAACACCATGTGTGGCTTCTATAAGCAGCAGGTAAACTGACAAGAATCATGTCAACTTCATTCAGCAGCTCCCAGGGCTTCCAGGATCTGTGGTTATGGGGTGGCTCCACCCACAGGAAGTCCTGGGAGTCAGCTGGGATCCCCCAGAGCAATCCACACAGTGGGGCTGCCCCAGAGCCAGACCTTGGAAACACATGTTCGCCGGCAGCCTGCCAGGAAACCAGGCAAGGATCCACCAGAACTCTGCTTGGGACTTAAGCAAAGGTCATTGAACCTGAGACATTTCCAAACAATAGTTTGGGTTTGACAAATCAGCATTTTCTGATTAAACTTGCATCAGAAATTTCCCAACCAGCTCTAGTCCTAACCCTGTTCCCCATTTAAGATGACAATCTTGCATTCCTGCTCAGCTACCACCTGCTGTACACACTGATGTGCTCCATTTATTATATCATAAGTCAGATCCTCTCAATGGCTCTTATGCTGCGTAAAAGGGCTGTAGCAACCTAAAGGGGCTCTAAAAGCCCTGGTTCCAGCTGGGGGAGAATTTCCCCCAGCACAAGCACTGTGGAAGACAACCATAAAGCTGCCTTCTGAGAGCCTCCTGGCAAGCCCTGATGAGGGGGGCATGCCAGAGGTGGGACTGAAGACAGGAGGGGCATGTTGGGGGCAAGGCTGCAGCAGGCAGCACTGCAGGCTGCCATAACCTAGGCAGGGCCCCAGCCCCCAGGATCAAGAGGGCACGAAAATGGATTAAAGCCACCTTTGACTCCGCACCCCCTGTGTTCTATCACTAAATTGTTCCTTTAGGGCTAGATTCTGATTCTTTTACTCACGCTGGGTAGCGCTTTACTCCAAAGGTAACCTCATTGACTCCATTAGGACTATTCACAGAGTACACACTATTCACCATGAGTAAGGGGATCACAATCTAGCACAGTCAGTTTAATTGCTGAGTTACTGGGGAAATGTAGGTGGCATCATATGAGAGGCCTTTCCCTCTAATAAATTCAGCAACTCCCAGAAGCTCAATTTGATCTCAGCTATACCTGTTTCAAAATCAAAACCTGAACAAAAGTATGGAGAATTTGATAGTGTTTTATTCTGTATTATTTCATTCCTGGCATATTTCACTTAGCAGTACACTACAAAAGAGGGTTTTTTCCCCCAATAGCCTCAAAATCAAAGAAATGGCAATATTCAAAATTAGTTTATTAGGATCATTGCTCCAAAGGACAAAAACTCTAAGTGCGCTCTGCAAACATTCTTTTCTAACTTTTCCTATCAGTTACCGTGGAAAAAAGTTAAGCCAATGGCCAGCATATGACAGGTTGAGCTTTAAGTGAATAAAAGGCCGACCATACACAAACATTTTTACAGCAGAGGGGAATGATTTTTCCTGTCATGGGCTGAGTACCTGCAGTACTCCTTCAGTGAAAGAAATAAAATTCCCTGCACACCATGTAGTTTCCATTGGGAAAAGTAACCTCTTGTTCATATAATTGAAGAGTTTCAAGCTACAGTACCATACAGAAAGAAATCAGCTTTTATGTATCGCTGCCTTCTCATGGCTCACCTGTTGTGAAACTGTTTTTAAGCTCAGTGAGATAGAACACAGCTGCGTTCTTACAGGCAATAAACCCTGTTGCAAAGAAGAAAGCTGCTCGGCTGATGACCAGAAGCATAGTGACATTGTAGCTCTGAACTTCCTAATGTTACTTTTTTCTATAAAAAGACTGAAGGCAGAACAGTGTGAAGCTAGATAATCTTAACCACTGGTACATCTGGAGTTCCGTTTGGCAATAGGTGGGTAGTGGCGTGAAATGATATTTGCAGCAATTTGTCTGCCCAATTGTTGAGAGGGAGACAGATGTTATCTTTTAGTTCTTTAGTAATTTCTCTATATAACATTTCATTTGAATGTGATTGGATATTTTTGAAAATAAAAATAGAACTCAGTCAGAGCAGTACTGCATTTGGCAAAGACTGTGTTTAGTGTGATGGACTGTATTGTGTGCATGTATATCTTTACCTTTAATTGGATAAAATCAGAACTACTCATCTGGGTGCTGTGATCCTTACACTGCTAACAGCTAAAAGAGACCTGAAAGAGTTGAATTCCACCCCTCCTATGCTGTGAAATTTTGAGGGGCCAAGACATCCAGCACAGTGGTAATCATGAACTCCCTATGTGGCCGTGCATTTGTTTCTATGCTGGCTGTCTAAAACCCTGTAGATTGCTCTGGTTATTTTGTTGTTTGTTTTGCCTGCCTTTCCTTATCTAGAAAGATGGTTAAGGTCAGATGTTAGCAACAACCCAGGCCAAGTCTGAACAGCATAGGAATCTTACTGGACAATCCAGTGAGATGACACATAGCCACTGGATATCCTACTGACACTCCCACATCACCAAGAATGGATCCTGTAAATATTAAAATAACCACGTCTACCTGGAAATGCACCCACATAACTATGTAATGAGTTGGCCTGTTCAACTGGATGCTATTCCTGAAGGTGTTCCCTCTGAAAGGCAGTATTATTGACTGGAGTGGCCAAATTTATTGGCCAAATGCTGCCCACAAAGTTCTACAGCAGGACTGTGGCTATGACCAACTTTAAATGTGAAAATATGCCCATACCTCTGCATTAAACAGGAGTGTAATTGTGTAATTGCTATCTATTTCTGTTTATGCAAATTAAGCATGGAACTGGGGCTCCTGGTAAACTGCCAATATGGCTTCCTCAAATGGGTCAGGTTTGGGTGTCCCCATTATAGCACAAGTGAATTGCTAGTTCCAGAACTCAAATGACGGAAGTACCATCTTCTAAAGGCAATTGGTATTATTGACAAACATGGTAGCACTCACCCTTTCCTTTCAGCTGAAAAGCAATTAACCAAATGACGTTGCAGTTAACACCAGTGTGAGATAGTGTACAGTTGCATGGCATGCTACCCAAACCCAAACTGTCACATCTTCATACATACTGCCCTTGCTGAACCAGTGCACAAATCATGTCCATTTCTAAACCTGGCTATCTTGAGCCCTCCTGGCCTACAATTTTTTGCTCATGTGCAGCTGGACTAGCCCATCAATTTCATGTCAATATTATTTTGGGTTATTAACCATTATGATAGCTGGGCAGAAACACATTGGTCTTTGGGATGAGATCTCACTTTTGAAACTGTCTGAGGGTTCTCACTCTGGAAAAAGAGTTTGGTTACAAAACACAGGAAATTCTCACAAAAGTTGCCTCAGGGAGACAGTGGTGGGTTGTTGTACAGTTAGTTTTGATCTCAGTGAAGAGAACCTGCTAGAGACACATCACCATGAAACGATTTATTAGAAGAAGGAAGTGAAATCAGATTTTAAAATGGTATTTGATTGAATATCTTTCAAATGTATGAGTTATTGTTGGTTTCTATCCTTAATATATGTTAATATATAGGTTTAATTATTATTTTATATGTTTTTCTTATTGATTAATAACATTGTGCTTGTAGGCTTTATGTGGGAATGAGAAGTTTTACCAACAAAATGTTGCAGCCATACTAGTTAGGGCTTTCATTTTATATTTTACAAATTAAGGGTCAGATCTGGCCAATATGTGGACCTCCAAGGAAAACCTAGGTATTGCAGGGAGTGATGTTGCATTCACTCTTCTTCCTGAATCAGTATAGAACCAATTCCTGTGATGTTAGGATGCACTTTACTCTGGAAATTTCATCTTTTGGATGAGACAGAAAACTCAAATCCTGACCACTTATGGTTATTAAAAATCTCATCTTCTCACAAGAGCAGAGGGTATTAACTCCAGGTTCCTGGCCAATTTCCAGTTTGGACAATTGGATTCTTTCTACCTAATTTCCCTCTAGAATCTCTTTTTGATATAGTGTTCTGTCATTTATGTCCTAAACTGTATGCTATTGAATAACTGCCACATTGCACCCCAGAAATGGTTACATTTCAGTGGTGGGTGTGAAGATCTCAAATAGTGTATGAAGTGCTCTGGAACCTTTTGGCAAGAAAGGTGCTATATAAAATGTATATGAACCATAAATGATATTATAACTCTACAAAGTTTCAGAAAGTTAGCACAGAATGGTGAAATAAGTAAAAGATGCTCTTTTAGACTATTTATAAATGACCATAGTTATTACACCACTAAGAGAAAATATTACTTGGTAATGGCTTCCAAGGCAACAGAAATAGAAGTCAATAGGAACTCCACAGTAGAATCTTCAGGCAAAATTTGGTTCTAAAATGCTACAGGGAAAAATTCATCCCTGGTGTCATGTCCCTATCTTCACTGACAGGAAGCCATGGCAAAATTTGGCCCTGGGTGAGAATGTGAAATAATACTATACTATGCTCACTTTGACTGGCCTCTGGTTCCGAGTCTTCTCGTTGTTAACTGTGGAAATTGTTGTCGTATTATCTGCAAATAAATACAGTGACATGTTAACAAATCCAAAAAAATCACATATGCCAATACTGTATTTTTAATATAGCCTGTTTTGGGTAGCATGAGGGAAAGGAAGAGAAATTGTATTGAACGTACACAGGGGAACCACCAGAAATTTGTCACCTAGCATGCACAATCGCACTCACCCTGCAACGGCGCGTAGGCCCAGTTCCTCATTCCAGTTTGTTGCAACTTGGTGCCCAGGATCGCAGCGCCACTCAGGTTTGGCCTGGTGCCAGGTCGCAACGCCACTCACTGAAATGGGGTCCTGCGACCCTCCATCATGATAGGTTGGACCCACGGCCTCTCTGAGTGGCAGTGCAACCCTGCATGCTGGGTCACAGCACCACATTGGGGCGCCGGGCAAGCTGCCTATTTTCCCCTCCCTCTGGGCAGCTGTACCCCCCCACACACACACATTGGCACCCCTGCCAATGGTATGCACCATGTGTAGCAAACAGAGCTGTGGGCACCACTGCACGTACATGTAAAGTGTGACAGGAGAAATCTGACCAAATTAGCTTTTTCTAAAAAATGATGTATTAATTTAATCCCTTTACTGAATGAGGCAAAATAACAAATGAAATCCAGAACAACTCCATTCACTTAAATGAAGCTCCTCTGAATTTATACCAGAGTGAAACATGATTCATAAACTCTAAGGGCACAGTTCTTCCCTTAAGCTTAATGAGAGTTTCACCTAAAATTGGGTGTACTATTAAAGTTGCTCATATATGTGTTTGCAGGATCAGGGGCTTCATGAAATCGATGAAAGCCATGTACAATTAATTGAAGACAAAGATAAAAGGAGCTGTTCAAACAGAAGAAAATGTCAATTAAAGATTAATTAAATAATATGGACTTTTTCCATAAAGTTGTATTTTACCACAATTGGTATCAGCAATCAATATCTAACCCTGACTGATCATCAAAAGCTCTGGAACGGGCATTTGGATCAAAGGTGTTTTATAAAGATTATTACAGTAGCACATATTTAGCTTATTCTTCACACATATTTCTTGCCAAATCTACAAATGGTTTTCCTTGTGCAACAGATAATCGATTTGTGTTTGTTTCTCAGAACCTTGCACACACTTTGGCTTATGTCAAAAATGCTACGTATGTTCACACTCACTAGCCTGTTCAGCTTTAATTTCTGGAGCAAAACTTCAGCAAACAGTAAAACACTTTTGTGGAGCTGTGAAAGTTCAGCCTAGCTGTTTGATAAATGAGCAGACGGGCAAGCAGCCCCTCTTTCTTTTTTTGTATGGATTCAATGAAGCCTGCCTAAAGAACACCACATGCTGTTCCAGCTACTGATCTAACATTCCGCAACATCTCAACCTTCCAAATTCCCTTTAATTACACATTAATCCCACCCCTCTCTCTTTCAGTTTCTGCAGACAAGGTTGGGGGCTCCACAGGGCTGTGGGAAAAAAGGCAGTGTTGAAGAACCACTTTCTGGGGATTTTTTTCCTTTTTTTCTTTTGGTGGTTGCTGTCACTCAGAATGTACCATTCCACTCCCAAAGTTGAATATTACAGCAGTAGATTTAAACGCAAACTTACTCTATTTTACTTTTACCCTAATTTTTCAAACCCCCCCCCCTCCAAAAAAAACCCAATGGAATAACTTTCAAAGTCTGTCAAGTGCTGATTAAATGTTATAGTGAACATTGTAAATGTTACCTTATGAACCATATGCTGTGGGAGTTCTTGAAATTTAGAAATCAGACATTTCTACATACCGGAGCAGAAATAATCAGGAAAAGAGAAGAATAAATAAAAGCAGAAAATCAGCTCATTTTCCCCCCCCTCCCCCCCCCCCCCCCCCCAATCCAGTACCTTAAGCAGTAAAATATACTTTCTGGAGCACTGCTGAAGTGTGTGTTGCTTATAACAATATTCTGCATAAATTATTTTTTAAAAAGTCCTGCAAAACTTTAAAGGAAAATTCCAGGATTTTTCCAGCAAACATTATGAGTGTGTGGGTGGGTGGGGTGTAACTTCAAGCACAACAAATGTTATTTAAAAAATAACTGTTATTTTCAATGTTTATATTTATATGGTTATAGAGGACTTTGTTCTAACTCCATGGATGGAGCTAGTTCCCTGCCAAGAGGCAGGAAGTGAGGCTGAGTAGGTTGGGGAGAAGCTCACTGTCCATTGAAATCAATGGGAAAAGCAGACATGTGTGACTGTTGGTTTTAAAGTGTGTTTCCACTCTGAAAAGTGACTAAAAAACAGCAATATGGGGTTTCATGTTTCTTGACTTTCAGTGACTAACAGGGAAAATTTGCTCTTTTTATAAGTAAAGAGATGCTTTTTTCTAGCTGTCAGAACTGAAAATTCAACTTAGGATCTGAAAATTAAGCTAGGTTCTTTCCTTCCCATCACCAGTAAAGAAGATTCTGTGGGGCGGCTGCACAGATACCAATGAGGGCAAGATCTGACTCTACCATTTGAACTTGCTTAATAATTCTGTTGGTGATGTGTGAACAAGAATAGAATCCAGCTGCCTTCCCCATGGCGATGTTGGCTCTGCAGTAGCAACAGAGGTAAAAGATATCATGTGAAATCGTACCTATACTGGAGTGAGTGGGAATTTGCCATTGATTTCAATGAGGTCAGACTTTCACCCCATATGTCCCTAAAGTGAGCAAATATAAATCTGAAAACATAGAGAGCTCTGCTGAATAAGGAGGTGTCATTTTTACATTGTCACTTATTAAGACTAAAACCACATTTTTACACTAAACTTTATTTTACATGAAGTTTCATTTGGGATTTTTAGGAAGATGGGGCCCAGGAATTTCACATGAAGATAATCTCTGCTCTCAATACCACCTCAGGAACCAGTGCTCCGGTGATTTCATTCCCTGCTTAATAACTTCAGCTCTGTTCTTTCATATGTGCCTTGGCTGAGTCCTGGTCTTTCCTTCTTATAAGAGGGAATCTTGTGTATTTTCCTGTGAGCTATTTAAAAATCTCCCTCATCATTTTGTAAAACAATCACACAATTAAACAGTCATACCTGATGCTCCTATTAGCGAGTGCCTGGGATTTAGATAAGGCAGGATTCATTACTTCCTAAAATCAGAGCTGTACATTTTTCTTCTCTTTTGAACTATTACCAAACATCTGCGTTTGTTTAACCCTTTTGACGTTAATCCTGAAATGTGGTTTTATGAAAGTGGACAGAACGTCTGTGTTGTGTTTTAATGTTATCAGTGAGAAGTACATGAGGGACCCTTTTTTCTGTGTGTGGGGTGGGGACAGGTGACCTTTCCTCTCTGAGGCTATATGGGACACCAGAGATAATGGGAGGAGGGCTCCCCTCAAATCATTCTTATACATTTGAGGTTAAACAGTTGCAATGTAACATGCAATATCTATGATATAGCCACAAAAACAACAAGGAGTCCGGTGGCACCTTAAAGACTAACAGATTTATTTGAGCATAAGCTTTCGAAAGCTTATGCTCAAATAAATCTGTTAGTCTTTAAGGATACAGACTAACACGGCTACCCCTCTGATATTATATAGCCATTACATTACGAAGCATTTAATCCAGCGGTACTTTTGAAACCTAGAATAGTTGCCTGAGTAAATCTAATTTAAATATCAAGTTAAATGTACTTTTGGTAACTCTTAAGATGTTGAAATAAACAGTAAACAAGTCATATCTGTGAAAGTTACCAAATGTTTTATAAACAATTATATAGAAAAATATACAAAAAGTGCAGATATCTATATTGTACTCTGCATGTGCCATGTAAGCATCAGCCAGGGATAGCTGCAAAAGATATAACTATGCTGCCGAGGTGCACTCTGCCCTTCTGATTTATGCCATCTGTAATTTCTATTATTGCATCACACATGCCTCAGCAGTATGAGACTCAAACACAATCAGGGTCCTCTCTATCTTTAAAATGAGACGTGTATTGTCTATTCTACCTTTAACCCCTGCACCAGGGGCCATCATCCCTTATCCCATTCACCAGTGAGCTGTGAACTTTCTACTTCCCAATTATTCCACCTAAATTCTTCCCTGGTATGAGGCTCAAAAACAGCTTAGGCCTCAGTCTTCATACTGACAGCTAAGGATGGGAGAGACCAGCCATCTTTGCATTCTTGTGAAGACTCTAGAACTTTTTGGTGTATCAGTTAAAATGTTGTATTTTGCAAAACCTTTTCAAAAAAAGATTCCCCTTCATTTAAACTGTTATTTTTTGAAGGTACATTTAATTTTTACAAGTGTATTTGAGCTAAATGGAAGCCTGTGCTATGCTTTGCAATTCTTTCTACTTCTTATTTGAAAATTATTCTTGCCATGCTCCTAACACTATCAAGGGCAATTAAATAAATTTAGAATATAACAAAAACTAATGTATTAACAGCCCAGAACTTGAAATCTGCGGGAACAAAACAGAACTCCCACCACTAAGATTCAGAGTTCCAGTCTAGAACTCATGATTATCAAATAAGTTCTAAACAAGGCGAGAGAAATTCTCTTACCCCTGCTAATAATTCCTGCCATTCAGGTCTGTCTCCAGTTTCCCCAGCAGGTCCCATCATTCATTGAAGATTGACTGATTAGCTGTGCACTCCCTGGGGCTTCCAATACTGCACCCAGAGCACATTCTTTGCTTGTGTGAAATGAGATACAAAACGCAGTGTGTGCTATTCCCCAGTTTTAGGGTAATTATTTTTATTGCTCTGGTCTAAGACAACTCTGCCAGGGTGGTCATTCTCCTCTTGTTCATTGCAGGGGTGAGCTCACTCTCTCAGAGCTGGGCTATCTGTATTTCCCATTAGTGTTAAAACACGAATCACAAATACTGCTGGTACCTTCAATCCAGGGGTGAAAGTAAGTCCAGTGATTTACCTATACGCTGGGGCCAGCATTGGCCCCCAGAAGGGGCGGGGCCTAGGGCGTAAGAGGCGTGGCTGGGGGAGTCAGAGCCAGCCCCA